CTACACTTCCAGCATAACAACAAGTGCCAAAGAAGGGTGACTCGTGACCCAGGAAGGTGGGCCCATGATGGCTCGGGATCTCCCGCATCTTCTTGCATAGAGCCGCCATGGAGCCCACAACTGACAGCAGCAAGTCTTGGTGTCTGGGATCTGCACTTTTTGTGTGTGCTCGATGCTGCTCAAACTCTGGGATCCTTTATATCCCTGGCGGGCTCCTTCTCCTTGCCGTCATCCTTTCTCCTTCCTTCCCCCATGCCAACCCCACCACCACCACCAACCAATCCTCCCCAATCTCCTCAAAAGCCTCCAACTGTGCTCTTTCTCCTGCTCCCCTCTCTCAACTGGCCCTGGAGCAGGCCCTGCAAGTGTCCACTTCACTCCAGGCCTCCCAGTCTCTCCAAGTTTCTGCTATCACCATCACCCTTCCTCCCTCGCCTGCCTCAGGTGACCACAGGCCTCGGCTACCATCTTCTCCCATGGCTCCCGTCTCCTCCGCTTCGCCTATTTCCTGTCCAGTTGTAAAGTGTCCTCGGGGTGCTACCCCCATTGCCAAAAAAGCATTTCAAAGGGAAGGAACATACCATTGTTGCCCCCTCCCCCCCAAGGCCATCAGCAAGCATGGGCCCTTTGGCCTCCTCCATTTCTAGAGCCTCTGGCCTGCCTGCTGCTGGGCACATGCCCATCAGGCATATAAAATACATAAGTTGATAGAGGATAATCTGATGGTATGAAGAATGTATGCAGTAGAAGGAAGTGAACTTGATATAGGGTAGATGGGCAGATATGTATAGAGTGATATACTTTCATTTTAGAATGATATCTACTCAGAAACACCTAGGAGGTGTATATTATTTAAGAAGGAATTATCCTAATAGAGGATACTGATATCAAATATACCTCAAAGTTAGTCACAAGATCATTTGAAGGCCATAGTATTACTTTGTTATCATTAACAACAAATTTCATGACCATAAACCCTATTGGACATTGTTGAAAACATCAAAACCATCTACAGGGGCTATTTGAGCTATAGGAGAGATGTAGAGAAGAGTATGGGAATATTTTTAAGCAGAAATGTATAGGATTGATGGAAAATATATTTATGAGACTAGTAGCAATGATTAAAGTCAAGGGAGGAAGCATCAAACATCAGAATCATAAATATTGCAGTTGTTAAACTCAAAGTTAAAAAAGTGTCCCAATGAGTCACAAGTGTAGAATTATCATATCTCCGCTCTGTAAGCTCCGTTTCCCACGCCACATAGCTCAGATTCAAGCCAGAAGGTATTACTACCAAATATGTCTGCACTGCCACATCAGATTCACATGCCTTGGCTCACCATAATGCAATTACATGAAACTGCACAAACATTGGGACACTTTTTTGAGCCACTGTATCTTCCGGGAACATGAGGAATATATGGTGCCGGGACAGAGAGATGTTGGCTTACCACTGCCTGCAAATGTTTGGAGGGAGATGAAGCTCACGGACTTGGAGCAAACGGCTTCGCGCATCCCAAAGACACATTGGCAGCCTTCCTACACTCCTCCGGGCGAGATTGGAAAAGAGAACATTCCTCTATTAGTTTCCCATGGTTCCAAACGCACCGCTCCGCAAGCGGGCTCTTCCCGTCCTTCAAAGAAGGTCCGAATGACTATTCCTACTGCTCTTTCTGCACTCAGCGCTTGATTTCTTAACGTTTTCTTACTTCATGCACTTATGCCAGTCGTCTACATACTCATTTTCATTCGTTTTATTGCTGACTTCATATTGATTCTCGGTGTGACAAAAAAAACTACCTAATAAAGCTAAATTACATGATCGGTCACGCTGTCATCACGCCGTCACAGTAGGCATAGAGGGTACCCAAGTTGCGGCAGGTTAGTGTTCTAGATTTCTTGATCGCACACCTCTTGCCTTCACCAACTACCTCATCTATGACGAGACACTCCACATGGCATTTCCTAAATGCTCTGGGGATTTCAATCCCAGCGTTTTCCAAGTCCATGTCTGGCAGTTGATCATTGACCAGCAAATTGAGGCACACATGGCAAAGTTCAACGTCATGATGGACCACATGAGGACAGGCTCGGCTTCCACCAGCAACCCTCCTCTGGCACCCCCTCGTGCTCCCACTCCCTTGTCATCCACTTCATCTGGGAAACATCCTCGCGCTGCTACATCTTCCTTTCGGAAAGATGCACCCTCTGATCTGGCAGAAAAGCCCCCCTCCTCCTCCTTTTGCATCACCTCCACTTGCTGGTTCTGTGGTGAGCTCCACTGCCACTGCCCCAAGGATTGCCCATCTGTCGACAATGGATGGCTCGTCAAGGATGCCCAAGGCCTCTGGAAGGGCCCTGGCAACATCACAGTTTGTTTCTACTTCAATAGCGCTAAGGGATGTGGAAACCCTCCCAGTGGGTGCATGTTTGCTCATGTCTGCTCTCGCTGCGGGTCTGCAGACCATAATGCACAATCCCACCCTGCGTGACTCCCCTTCTCTGGCAGAGGTGGGAGGAGCTCTTTCTTGCTGCAGGTGTTCTTGATGAGTTTTCTGATGTTGTTGCTGGCATCCGCAACAGCTTTTGCCTTGGTGTCTCATCCACTCTTACTCGTACTTTCTTACCTCTGAATCATTGTTCTGCACTTGACCATCCTGACATTATTAATACCCATATTTGCAATGAAGTTGCTGCTGGCAGATATTCTGAACTGTTTGACCCTGATCTGTTTGAGTGCATTTTTGGCCCTTTTCATTCCTCCCCTCTAGGTGTGGTCTTCAACCCCAATTCTGGTAAATCGTGGCTGATCCAAGACCACTCCTTCCCGCGCAACCACCCTGATCTCTCCTCCATCAATTCCAAAATCGATCCCTCCACCTTTTCTTGTGATTGGGGCACTTTTGCCCAATGCTTTCTTCTGGTGGCCAATGCCCCCAATGCCCCCACAGGTACCGAGGCCGCCGTGTTTGACATTGACACCGCACATTGCTGAATGCCTATCGCACCGGAGAATCGCCTTCATGCTACCATCTATTGGAATGGTCAAGTCCATATTAACCACAACACCTGTTTTGTGGCCACTAGCTCTTCTGGCATCTTTGGCCGTTCAGCAGATGGCATCATCACCATATACCAATTCAAATCCTTCAAGGACATCTTGAAGTGGGCTGATGACTTCCTGTTCTTTTGCTACACCATCCACATCAATGAGGATGGCTCGTTCACCTTCTCTGTTGACGCCTCCTCCATTTGATCCACCACCGAGTTCCTTGGCTGGCCCTGGTCCGTTCCGAAATTCCATGACTTCACCCCAGACTTCCCTTACCTTGGCTTTCACTGAGAGAAATCCCCTTGCGCACCATCCAGCTCCCAGAGAGCAAAAAGGAGAAATACCTTGCGTGCCTTGTGAGCTGGCTTGCTGGGGCAAGAGTCACTAAGCGGGAGGTGGAGGTGGAGGTGGAGGTGGGGACCTTGAATCACTGCTCCATCATCCTCATCTCCAGCCAAACCCACCTCCCCTCCTTCTACCGTTTTCTTAGCCATTTTTGTGCTGGCACCCATCTCCTTACTTCTCACTCCATTCCAGCGGAGGTCTTGGGAGACATCAGTTGGTGGCACAAACACTTTCAGCATCCCTTTTGTGGTATGCACATCACAGCTCCTCCACCCCCTCTCTCTACTCCCATTTTCGTCAATGCATCCACTTCATGGGGTGTGGGCTTCATTCTTGGGGACAGCTGGTCAGCTTGGTGTTTGGGCGGCAACTGGCGATCTGAAGGTTGAGACATTGGTTGGGGCGAAATGGTCGCTGTTGAACTCGCCCTTTGCAGCAAAATCATTGCAGGTTTTCGTGATGTGCATTTCATAGTCCATTCAGACAACGCTGGTGTCATTGGCACCCTTCATGCAGGGCTGTCGCGTAACTCCCAGCAGAATACAGTACTTTGCAGAATCATCTCACTCCTCCTCGAATACTCTATCTGGTTCTCCACCATGTGGATCCCGTCAAAAGATAACCTTGCAGACGGCCCCTTGTGGGGAGTCTTCCCCAACCTTCCAAAATTTCCTCATACTGCATATATCCCTCACGCTTTGCATCCTTTCGTGTCCGCCGCTTAGTCATTGCTTTGCCCCATCTCTCATAGTCTTTCATGTAGTATTTACGCCCACCTGCAGCCTTACAATTTCAGTCTCTGTGCCATTAGCGTACCTCCCTACAATCGACCCTCACGTGCTTCCCACGTGTCATCAACACTTGAGCTAAAGTCAACTGCTTGTTCTAAGCCTTTCCCCACCTCACATCACATACTCCTACTATGTCCCTCTCCAATCCCACATTGGAAGACATCATGTCACATGCAGTCGACTCTCTTAGCCTCCACTTACCCCCTTCTGTGACAGCTAATACTTTCCCCCACCTCACGGCTCTTATCGACTCCGTCATTTTCAACTCCTGGAAGGAGTCCACCCTCGCCGGTTACCAACTTGGCGTCAATTGTTTCCTCACGTTCTGTGCCAATAATAGCATTCCCCTCAAGTTCACCCTCCCAGCCAATGAATTCTTACTCTGCACCTTCGCAGCATTCGAAGCTGGCTCACGTTCTGGCGGCACCATCTCCAACGACCTATCTGGAATTCGGGCCTGGCATATACTCAATGGTGTGCCATATCAAGGCAGTCTCCGCCTGTCATATACCATTCATGGTGCTCATCGTGCGACCCCCACTGACTCCAAAAGGCCAGCTCGTCCACCCATCACCATCGATATGCTCACTCTTCTCCACATCCACCTCGCCCCCACAGACCCTCTTGATGCTGTTTGCCTCATGGTTGCTGATTGCACGACATGGGGCCAAGCTCGGCTTGGGGAATTTCTGCCCTTGTCACATGCCAAATTCTCACCTCAGTACTACAGTAGCTAACTTGCGCCCAGTCTCTGTATCTGGCCAATCCCGCATGCTATTTCTCCCATGGTCGAAAATGGCATGTGAACAAGGAGAGGATTTGTTCCTCGGTCACCAACACGCACTGTGTGATCCCATAGCCTCGCTGGAGAACCATCTCTCCATCAATCATCTTCTTCCAACCTCCCACCTCTTTGCATACCGTTCACTGACTGGTTCACTACACCCCCTCACTAAGTGCAAGTTCCTTTCTCACTGCAATGATGTCTGGTCTCAAAACGGCTACCCATCTATCTCTGGCCATTCATTTCACATTGGCGGCACCACAGAGCTTTTGCTCCGTGGCATACCCCCCCCACATAGTGAAAACTTTGGGCTGTTGGTCTTCAGATGCATTCCTGCGTTATTGGTGTTGCCTCAAGCAGCTTGCCCCTCTGCATGCTGAAATGATAAGCCCTCGAATCTCATCTTCCTCATGACCTTCTCCTTCCCCCCGCCCCTTCGCCTATCGTTCTCTTGCATTCATGACCTACCACTCTCTTTTCATCAAAGGCCTCCATTTGTGGGTGGTTCCCCCATTTGTCTATGGGTTCCCAGTGTAGGAGACGATCTGGCTGCAGCCCCGTACGGCACCATTTCCCCTTACTGGACGAAGTCATGCATACCTTCCACAGGCCATTGTGGACCATCACACGAGGTTGCGGAATCCGCGCACTCATCGCATTGCATTGCATCACAATGCACTATCCGTCCATGTCCTGTCTGCATCCATCCGTCCTCACTGGTGCGTTCTCATCCTTAGTTAGTCATTCCTAACCGTTCGCAGGGCCAGTTACATATCAGTTCCCATGCACGAGGTCGCATAGTGCTACTTACATATTATCTCCCTCCGACTTCGCGTACATATGTGTTCGCTTATACAGTTCCGGTTTCTTACAGACTCTGTTATATACTACGTTGCGGACTCGTATCCAGCACTTTCCTACATTCCCTCTCTCTGGTGGTGTGTTGCGGAGTCACTAGCTTAGTCTTACCTTGTCATTCCTTGCTTGAGCAATCACTTGTTTGCCTTCTCATCCCGCGCGAACGCTCACATCGCCATTGACAGTTGACTATTGCTAGTCCTAGTTGAGTTCCTTTGCAAGGCGGTTTCTGCACATCTTCGCATATACCTGGTACCTAGTTCGCTCTACCCAATTACCTGTTCCGACACCTGGTACCCTACCCGTTTCGCATACCTGGTACCCTACCCATTCACATACCTGGTACCCTCTAGACATTCACTTGTTTCTCCGCATCCGCATACCTCGCATCTCCGCATCTGCATACCTCGCATCTCCACATACCTTGCATCTCCGTGCATTCTCGCATCTCCGCATCTCCTCGCATACACAGCTGTTCTGTCTTCAGCGCATCACTTCCTTCTTCACTGTTCCCCTCGCTCATACTTGAGGAACTGCTCTCAGAGCTATCCCCTTGGGTCGACTACTATTCTCGCACCCAGCAGGATCAGTACGCTATCACTATAGCGGACTTCTACGATTTCTCCCACACCGGTTTTCTGCATCCTATGTCCTTCTTGCACTGTTGGGTGTTTCCATGTCCCCTCATACTCTTGGCACAACCCAGGCCTTGGCCTTCAGACAGACCAAGCAGACTCCCTCTCTCCATGTCCATAGGGATTCCTTTGTACTGTAGATCTAGTCGCATGCTGAGACCCCACCCAAAACCAGCGGGTGCTCTCTGAATATATTCACTTGATTTCACCCTAGCACTCACACTGCTCTTCTCAACTTTCCCATGCCAACAGAAGTGCGGGACGAGTTACAAATAAAACATAACTTAGTAATCATAATTAGTGATATGCAGGGGTATGTATGGGTAACCCGTGGGTTTTTGGAGGGTTTTTTGGAGGGTACAGGTAGGGGTACAAAATATTTAACCCGCAAAAAACCCGTACCCGTGGCGGGTAACCCGCAGGTATTTGTAATACATATTGTAGAGCTGGATCAGGCGATTTCAATGGTGGTCTGATCATGTAAAACAGTTGAGATTTGAGCAAGATATGATCATTATAAGAAAAGGACGCAAAATGAAAGGACAGCTCATACATTAATTAACCAGACCTCAAGTGTTTGACAAGATAATCAAGATAACACTAGCTTCAGATTAGACACCTATGTCATTTAACAACATTCACATTTTCCTTAACTATGTGATCCTATCTTGTAATGCTCATATCTTGCTCAACTCTTAACCGTTGTCTTACTACTTGAGGGTCTTATATGTTTTCGTGTAAATGTAGTGACACCACAACTACACTTTGATAAGACAAGAGTTGCCAACTCCTCAAGTACACAGTCAACAGATTTTCTAGTTTTCTCGGTTGATAATGTGTCGTTCGTGGGAGGCTCGACTATACAGTCTGTCGTTGGTTCTTGGAATGGGGTTTGGTTGTGGATGGGATGATAGACCTAGATGATAGGCCTGATATGATGAACTGTGTAGAATAGATGGACTAAACTACATTGACGAATGGTTTGTCCGAATGGTCCTTGGACAAATATACGAGTGGATGCGCTACACAACACTTGGCTGAAGTGTGTGGATCCTTTGATGAACAAGGGACCTTTGGTATGGAGCAAAAGTCCTTGGTGGTGTGGAATTGGGAAGCTGACTAAGCTTTACCCAGACAGATCCTTGCTGATGTAATCAAAGCAAGAATATCTCCTGAAGAGTTCTTTGTCCAAACAGCTCTTGGACAAAAGATATGGGTTGTGTGGGATGCTGACTAAGCTTTTCCCAGACAAATCCTTGCTGACTTAATCAAAGGAAGGAAACAGCAGTTCTAGACCAACAAAGGACTAGAAAAGAAGGTTAGGGTGACTAAATGCCCCTAACAACAGTAAAGATAACACAAGACTAAGATTATATCAAATCTTAGTGTAGTAAGGCTGTCAGTATCAGCCTGCACTTCAGATGATAGATGTGAAGTGGGAAATCTCCAATATGGGGAGTCTCTCCTTTCTCCTCAGAGAATTGAGCCTCCTTATATACATTTGGTGTGGCAAAATTCCCAGGAACTGTATAGTACCAAGAAAATAGAAAGAGACACAAATCTCAGAAGAAATAAGGTAGTTGTAGCATAAAATGCAAAATTGAAGTGGAAAGAACACCAAAGGAGGAAAATGACTCATTCTGACTCATTTGACAGCAAATGACATCACTGTGGAGCAGTGTGGAGCATTTGTGGAGCAAAGTGGAGCTGAATGATATCATTGTGGAGCTATGACATCAAGTGACATCGTCCAAGATCAAATGACTCAATTCTGGAGTCACATGACTTCTCCTAGGGTTAATTACATGTTATGTAAGCTCAGATTGTGGCTGAAGCTCACATAACGTGCACAAATAAAAAGAACAAGAGAAACAGAAGCAAGAAAGTCAACAAAGATAAACATAAACAGAAGTAAATGAAATGCGAGCTTTCTGCCACTTTTTACTTCTCTTGCCTCAACATAGAGTATTAGTCTAAAGTGAAAGTTTTTGGACTAGTATACCCTTATCCTATTGAATGTCAATGTATGATCTTCATTTCATGCATGACACCATTTGACATGATCAGACCACTGTTTTAATCGCCTGATCAAGCTCTACAATATGTACTACAAATACCCGCGGGTTACCCGCCACAGGTACGGGTTTTTGCGGGTAGGGGTAGGGGTACAGCTGAAAATACCCACGGGTTACCCGCGCAGAACACTAATATTAATATAGCCAAACTTTTGGAGGACAACTCCCCACAGAGTGACTGGTAAAACTTGTTGTGGGTAGCTCATCATAATCCCCGGAGGGATTGTCATTATCCATAATTGTTGTTGATGAACAAAAGAGCTTGGCGATGGATGCAAGGGTGTCCATGGAATGAATAAATAGTAACAAAAGGGTATTGAGAAGATCGAAGTTAGAGTCAAGCAGTCAAAGATGGCAAGTTCAAGTTATTGGGGCTGGCTTGTGAGTGTAATTGAGCGAAAATTACTCTGCGAGTGGCTCTTTTAAGTCATCAGATCATTGACAGTGGACAATTGATTTAATGTGCCACCATTGTCTTTCCACTAATGAAGCTGTGTGGTGGTTCCGTTTATGGTATCAAGCCACTCTTGGGCATTATTCTGGTGGCGGAGCTCCAATTTAAACATCATGCCGACTTCTGCCGAAGGGGCCTCATCTCCACTAATATTATCATGCAGCATCACCATGATGTGTGAACTTGTCTATTAAATACTATAATTGTAGCACCTCTGTGTGGTGCAGACGTGCTACCATATGTGTGGTATACTGTGGTATACCTCTGCACAGTTTGCCATTATCCACTCTACAGTCAAATATGTGCCCAACAATTGAACACGGACTTCGGAACTGGCAGCACGCAATAGAGGCTCTGGAACAGTCCATAAGTATCAAGAAGTCAATATATTTTGTGCTATGTTACTCAGAAACAGAGAAACTTACATTGGTATCTGTAATGAACTCCTGAGACAGTCATTTTGTGAGCGTTGTTGCAAATCCATTATTGGGGAGATCTGCTAATGGATGACTTCCCATAGGCTCAAAATAATCAGATTAGAATAAATATTATTACTTTAGGAAGGTGTGCTGTGATGCCGTTCACAATTTATGCCACATTGACACACCAATAAATTTTTGCACCCCCTCATAAACCTTATTTTATTTTAATCTGTAGGGGGGGGGGGGGCCTACAGATTAATCTGACTAGAATTCTTCTGTTTTGGGCCACTACACCAACAATATTGGCTGACATTACCAACACGCCATCAGCATAGTCCCTGGGCCTCTCTGGCAGGTGCTGAAAACGGTGTGCCATCGTGCCAACTGACAGGGAAGGATCGAAGAGGGCACTAACAACTTGGTGAATGGAGGACACCATAGCGTTAGACTCTAGAGTAGGCGAGGACAAGTATTGGATGAGAGAAAGAAACAGAGAAACATGCGACACGCCACTTCGGGAGGTCTCATAATTTATGCAAAAACGACCAACAAAGGCGAGAGAAACGACTGGAAAACAAAGCGGCGGTACTTACCACTCATCAAAGCGCCATAGTCCAGCAGCTGTCGTGCATCAAAACACGAACGTTGTTCTGGTCATGGTCCATGGGGCTCCAATCCAAGAACCATGCCGACTTCTGCCGAAGAAGCCATTAGCACATACATCAAAGTGACTTCCTATCAGATCTCGAGCACAAATAATTGGGAAAATCCGATCCGCATGAAGAACTACATCATACATGATGTTCGTGCTGTTCGGAGTCGAAAACGATTGTGTGACGGTGAAAAAAAGACGTACAAATGGAAGATCGGCTGTTCCTCGCGCGAAAGGTATAAATAAATATCACAACGAATGAAGGCGAACTGCTCGTAGCATGAGCGTTTTCAATTGGAACGCAGGCATCGCCCCCACGGGTATCATGCAACACGTCCGACAGCGTCATCATAGGAGACATGAGGGAAAGACGCTTCCCAAGGTGTCATTTCTGAAGCTGGGGCAGCTTTCTTTTCGTCCAGTGAATGTTCCCAAGATAGCGCCAACGAGCTAGTTCGTTTGCGTTCTTTGGCGACATAGATGGCCAATGAGCCTGCTGATGGAATCATCGCAGGCGCACGAGGGGTGCGGTTGTACCTATGACGCTTAACAGAAATGTGTGTAGTCCAAGATAAGGGACCTACCCAATCGAGTTCATATAATGTTGCGACTTTGCTGGGGAGAATCCGAATATCTTTGCCGCCCACCAGAAAGCTATGACGTAGTTCTTCCGTGCTTCTGCGGCAAAACCAAAGAAGGCGAAGAAAATCAAGGCACAGACTACCACCAATCACCGCGTGAGCTGGACAACAACAACGAAGAGGTAGTCACTTGTCCACAGAATGGAATCATATCGCGCGACATGCGAAAAGTCATGGTGAACATTTTCCCAGCTGACCCAGGGCTGTACATGCCGTGCTGTCGAGTTAAGCAACATCAAGCAAGATGCGAGGGGAACAGTGCAAATATTTTTGTTGTTGCGAGTGCCATAAGACGGAAGTAGCTGCTGGCGTTGAGAGACATGCTAGCTGCCAAAAAATGGTTAAATTCCACACGGCGACAGTAAAATGCCCTCAATGAAAGACCTGCGAGCAGTAAGGACACGCAGAGCAAATTAGCACGAAAGGGCGAACCGCAATAGACCGCGAAGACAAGACCGATGATTATAGGCCAGCTATCAAACAAGAAAAATGCTGGTAGCGTATTGTAAATGAAAGGGTAGCGGCCGACGTCTTTGTAAATATCAAATCGATGGCCTTGTACAACATATTCTGTGACAGGATCAACGGGATGCGTGTTGTGGATGGAACCAATGTACTCACGGAGCGCGACGATTATCATAGGGAAAAGCACGCAGATAAGGCAGCATTATCCGAATGACTACACCGAGTTTCAGGAAACAGGCAGCGGAACACAGCGTAATATCACTTACAGATGTCACACCAAATAGGTGCCCAATTGATAGCATTGTTATGCCAAACGATGGAATTGATGAACTGGTTGAGGCAAGAGAGCGCCGTTCAGATCATGTAGCAGCATGTTCCCGAATCCCATGCTTGTAGATGCCAGGGAAGAGGTATAAGCGCGATCACAAAGCCGAGGAAGGAGAAAATGGGGGAAAGAGGATAGTCCAACCCAGTCACGATGATAGTTGAGAAAGATGAAAGCTGAATCGTGTCAAAGGACGGACACCGTGGATTATAAGCTTATACGAAAGCATTTTGGGCGAACAAAGCGATTTAGCGCAGTGTAAAATTTTTGGCCATTGTGGATGTGGCGGAGTCTGGAAACGCACGTTATTCCCAAATATGGACGATTTTCAGGCATCAATTGTGATCTGCCATTGCCGCTTTAATCGAACAGTGGACTAACGGTATATAATATGAGACGAGCCCTTTATTCCCAAAATTTAATTGTACCAACTATTCGCCCACACAAACAGGCTCGAGACCTACAACTCTTTATTCATCATTGACCTGTTGCCATATGGACGCCTTCATCTCCCTCCCTTTCGAGTCACCGCCCTTTGTTGGATCGTCCCAGCCTTGGGATGATGTACAACTACAATTTGTCGAATCCCCTGTCTCACTGCCAATTGACCAAGACAAACTTGTAGGCTACTTTGGTAGCTACTGCATCATTATGTGACCTGCACCGTGACGTTCACCGAAGTTCCAGTGTGAGGTGTGTTGTTCAGCATCTCTTTTAATGGACATCTCATTGACCGGGTCTTATGAATCAGGTGCTACTTGCCTCGTACGCACTGGTTCGGCGTTAAATCATTCGAATAAGAGGCTAGCTTCGCAATATTGATTTCGCTGGTACTGGCAGAAACTGCCAGACAGTCGCGCTCTCGCATGTTTAACTGCGACGTACTCAATTATAGCACAGTGCTCAACTCTGTATCTATACCTCTTCTTCAATACTTGCCTTTGTTCTGGTTTTCTTCATCTTGTTTTCGTTTGTTTTCGTTCAAGTTTGATTCTGTTGCTATACCGCATGCTACTTGACTTGGTAGATTCGTCGGACTCGCCGCTAGTGCAGCATTATATACTTTCAACATTCGTGTACATTCTAGAGCTACTTTCCTAGTAGTCCTTTATTCGTCTTTATTATTGAATTCTTGCCATCTTGACGAGTGTGGTCCTAGCTATCATTGTTCTTACTTGCATTGTCGCTGTCGTTTTCGCATTGTTGTCAATTGACTCTTGTTCTACTGAGCCTCATGATTGTCAATCTATGTCTACGACAGTGCCAAACGTCCCCAGTAGCCTCTATCTGGTGGACTCGAAATTGGATGCTTACAACGGTCCAAGGTGAATCTCTACTTGTTGACATGATTATTGGACAGCTTATATTTGGCACTAATCCATATGCCACGAATCTTGTGGTCCTGCGATCCGGGCCACGTATGCGTTGACAGGTAACTTCTTCATTTGATGAATGCCGAAAACGTCTCGACCCAACCCTGCCAGCACCGTCGTATTTGAAAATTCGTTTACTGGTCCCCACTGTAGAAGAAGTCCAAAAAATGACTTTACGCCCTTTTCTGTAGAGTATAAAAACCAACAACTTCCCTCTAGTAAACACAGACATATCAGCTCGCCACCATGTTTACCCGCCTCTCTACTCTTTCATCGTTCTCCTTGGCTTGGCGGCCCTCGTTAACGCTGGAACAGTACCAGTGAGCCTCGCCTCACGTTAAGGCATCTCATATTGACATATAATCCGCAGGCTGCTCGCGCAGTTGGTGAACTTGAAAAGCGTAACAATGTCGCGAGAGCGGTAAGCTTTAAGCTGGAGAAAAAGCAAAAATGGCCCGAGGGTATCAGCTTTCAGAAATAATTAGTCGTGTATTACATGTGTAAGTGTCAAGTACGGGCATAACTGAGTGGAGAGCCCTACCGTGACTGAAATAAAGTGAATATATGCAATGAGGGCTCACCACTGGTGGAATTCACGGTGCATGATTCAGTAAAAGGTACGATAACAAAATCCAACTAAAGGAGACACTGAGACGTAGATGAGCCACGACGCGCAATTTGATTCCGCCATATTGCTGTCGAACAATGGCGAAGGAGGGTTGAACCCGATATATGGCCAAACATGGTAATTCTAAATTCGGACCGTTGAGCTTAAAATGACGATCTCGGATCAGCCATTTGACAAGACTACTGAGAACGATAAGTACTCTAAGAGTATTACCTATAGTATATAGTAGATAGGCTGCAACTGCACCAATTCATCATTGATCACCCGTTTCTCTCAGTATACTACAGTCCGGGCCAGCACGTTTAGATGTGATTCTGTGCATAGCCGAAATGGACAATGCCCATTATTTGTTACCCCGACTGTCCAAAATTGGACAATCCATAATCCACATCCACAATCCACAATGGGCGTGGCGAGCGGAGAATCATTGTGGACGTGCGGCGTGTTATAAAAGAGGGACAAAGGGTTCGCCATGACTCCCAAGTTCACCACCTTTGTCTTAACATCGTTGCGCATAGCAGCATAGTAAACATCGCGTTCAACCTAACAACGATTGCAACTCCTGTAGCGCACCATCCAGCGTTACCTATTCCTGCGTTCACAAACAATATCTATCACATCCCGGGTCACCCATTATAATACCCGATGACAGACTCATTTGACGTTCTCGATTCCTTATTCCCAGTTTACCTTCCCGAATCTACTTTGCCCTGCGAAACATCGCTCCACGATTCTGGTAATCCCAACGAATCGATTCCCATGGAGTTTGAACACGCCGACGGCAGCATGGGCATCGCCGGCTGGTGTATCATTTCATAAGACATCTACTGCGGGTAGTGGTGTCTGCCCTGGAAACGATTTGCGATGTACGTTCGTCTTCTCTTTCGCTCCTCCGTTCGTGAGGCTGATGAGTTAGATACACAGCGTTGCTTAGATCTATACGTCCGCGAAAGACGATCCATTCACGTTGCTTTGCTTGTGCTACCGTTGCTTTATTCGTTGTTCGTCTGCTTTGCTTTGCCTTTCTGGCCTCTAATCGGCCCAAATTTCGAGCTTCTTCCGTACTTATTTTTCTGGGATCACCGCACCTATCATTTTCGATCACAAGTCTGACTATCAATTTGTGTCGTGCGTATGTTTATATACATATGTACAGATATGACTGGACTTCAAGTTATCATTCCGTATCTATCTTCTTTTCAATGTACATGACACGGGCCCCAGCAGCAGATGGCTGCAGGATTGTATTTGCGACCCACCTCCCATGCTTTATGTCATGAATATTCCCTGGATTTTCATCTAGACATGCTGACGCCGTTACGCGTGTATCAAGTAGGCCAAATATCAGCTGTCCGATAATCACGTTAACATTTGATCTTGCCTCTTTGCCGGAAGTGGGTAGAGAGCGTAGGTGCAAGGCTATTTAATGACTGGGACAGGGATACAAACTAGCACTTGAGAGTAAGATGTGTACTAGAAGACACGAAATGCCTGCAAAGTCCTGGCAGATTACGATTGGGGGAACCACTGCCCAGACAGAGAAGGTTCGCTGTTCTGGGCACGACCGTCATAGATAGGCTCAGCGCTTATGACGGAATAGGACATGTTTCTGCTCGGGTCCTGCAGGCCTGGTGAGTCCAGCGCTAGCTGGGTTCCACTTGCTCGAGCAACGGGATATTTGATTGACCATGTCTGTACCTGTGGTTGGTTATCACAGTTTGTATTGCTGGAGTGAGGTTAGTATAAGAGTTGGTCACAAAGAATCTTCGGATCACAGCTATCGTGTGAGAAAAACGGAGTCTGAACCTTCCTCATCGGTGCACAGCCACTTCGACTCACTCCGTCAACCATCGCGATTTGCAACCGTTCTGCCAGTGCGGTTTTTGCGCCCAAGTACACAAGCACATGTGGATTACTATGAATCAGGTGGACAGGGTGAGTTTCACTGCACAACACGATGATATTTGGTGCGACACCAGACTTTCTAATCTTCTGGGTCTGGTTCTGGGGTCTCTTCCTGCGTACATTATCTTGAGGTTTAACACCATGAGATTTTGTGCGAAACACAGGCTTACGCGCGCCAGGACTACATAATTGGCCTACGCACATTGTAAGGTGAGGTCGACACGATGAGATTTGGTGTGAAGTAAATACTCACCATCTTGATCGCTCTCATCACAAGCTCTCGAGCCGTAAAGTCTGGTGTCGCACCAAATATCATCGTGTTGACCCCATGATACATTGTATGGGGGACAACTGCTAGCAGAATTAGCTCAATTAGGTCTAGAAATAGTGCTCACAAGGATACAAGACAAATAGCGATACCAGCCTGGCGTATTGGCGACCAATTATTTGTCTGCGTCCAAGTGTCTATCAAATTTGTGTGAAGTTTCGAAGTCCCACAGGGACAGGGGATATAAAAAAAAAATGCTCAAATGTTGCAGGCGGGATTGCCGAGTAGAAGCAGAGTTGTACATGCAGTGAAACTCACCCTGTCCATCTGATTCATGGTAATCCACATGTGCTTGTGTACTCGGGCGCAAAAACCGCACTGGCACAACGATTGCAATGGTTGACGGAGTGAGTCGAAGTGACTGTGCACCGATGAGGAAGGTTCAGACTCCATTTTTCTCACGCGATAGCTGTGATCCGAAGATTCTTTGTAACCAACTCTAATACTAACCTCACTCCAGCAATGCGAACTGTGATAACCAACCACATGTACAGACATGGTCAATCAAATATCCCGTTGCTCGAGCAAGTGGAACCCAGCTAGCGCTGGACCAGGCCTGCAGGATCCGAGCAGAAATATGTCCCATTCCGTCATAAGCGCCGAGCCTATCTATGACGGTCATGCCCAGAACAGCGAACCTTGTCTGTCTGGGCAGTGGTTCCCCCAGTCATAATCTGCCAGGACTTTGCAGGCATTTCTTGTCTTTTAGTACACGTCTTACTCTCAAGTGCTAGTTTGTATCCTTCGGTCATATGCCTCACTTCGTTCCTCATCCTCTTGGTACTTGTCCTCCAGTATTGGAGGAGCCGAGCTACCCAGAACGCCCTCAGGGCCCCGAGACAAATCTTGTGATAACAAACTCTGTGTCAGACCCACTCGATGATACCCTCCCAGCCTTGGGTGAGGAGGCAAGCCGCCACCCAGAACACCCCCAGGACCCGGGAGAGACACACTTCGGTGGAGTGCAATAAGTCCTCATTACTGGTTTGTGATATCTATTTCTAGTCAGCATGCATTGACGACCCCCCAAGCCATTCGCGCAAATGAACTCACTCTTGGTCTCCGACGGATCTCTGCTGGCTTCCATGTAGTAATGACTGACGGTATCGAATTTCAAACAAGCAACAAACCTGTACACGTAGACCAGGTGTCGTCGAATGGAACGAACGGATGCCTCTGTAAGTTGCCCTTGATATCGTATTTTTAGCAGGCATTGAGAAGGACTCAAGGCCCTGCGAGCCATCTTCTCGAGTTCGAGTCAGCGTGTATGTCTCATTTGAACTAGATCCGATGCTCTGTCATGGAGAGGTACTCCGCTCATTCGAGATGTCCGTTGGAGAAATCGCAGTGAAAAGTCACGCCTGACAGGTGTTGGCGAGTGTCACAGCTATAATCTTACAGCCCAAGCAGGAGGAAGTCGTGTCCCCGTGCAGTTCACTGTTCATGACAGTTCTTCGCCCACTTACTACCGTGAGTGATCAAGGCAGTCCGATGTTCTGATGCTGAATGCTGAATGCTCGTAATGCTTAGCTTACGTCTGACGACATTCATGCGTTAGTTCTAATGACGCACATTGGACACGGTCTTCTCGCACGATACCGAAGGACACAGAACACCAGGGATCTCGACGAATCCATAACGCACTTTGAACGCGCGTCTGATCTTTGTGCCATGGGTCACCCCTGCCGCCCTGCAGCACTGTTCAATCTAGCTTCCGCGAAGTTTGTTAATGACCAAGTCAATGGAACATGCCTCGACCTCGACATCTTCATCTCTCTTTTTCAAAACGCCTCTGACTTTCGTCCGACTGATCATCCTGACCGATCGATCACCCAGCTCCATTTTGCCATTGCTATGCTATCTCATTTCGCGAAACGGGGATTTCAAATGGATGCTGATGGAGCTGAACAGTTTCTGAGCAAAGTCCTCGATGTCTGTCATGCCAATAGTCACATTTACAGAGCAGCTTTGCTTTTAATCGAAACATTAACATTTGCTCTGCACCGAGCAGGAGGCATGGAAGGACACGATCTGGGGCAGAAGCAGCCCGATGCATTAATGCTTCCTTTATCACCAAATCAACTTGCTCGTCGTGCAGAGCGGTGTTTTCAGGGAGATGATTACCATGACTTAGATGAAGTGATCTCCCTGCATTACGATGCACTGCACTACTACGACACTATGTATGCTTGTCGAGGGCAATTGCTATGTGATCTGGGTTCATTGTTGCTCGCTCGCAGCGTCGAGACAATAGCCAAGGCCTGGACGATGCCATCACGCTGCTCAGGGAAGCGTCGTGTCACGCATTTCGGCCCACGTCATTATTCATCCTTGCGAATGTGCTCCGTGCCCGCTTCCGGCACCGAGGCAATTACCAGGACTTGGATGAGGCTATCACGCTTCACAGGGAAGCGCTGGCTTTACGTTCAGTCGGTCACGCAGATCGGTCACTGTCATTACATAACCTTGCGAATGCGCTCTCCACCCACTTCCGGCACCAAGACAAAATCAAACGTGATTATCGGACAGCTGATATTTGGCCTACTTAATATACGCGTAACGGCGTCAACATGTCTAGATAAAAATCCAGGGGATATTCATGACATAAAGCATGGGAGGTGGGTTGCAAATACAATCCCGCAGCCATCTGCTGCTGGGGCCCGTGTCATGTACATAGAAAAGAAGATAGATACGAATAATAACTTGAAGTCCAGTGTCACATATGTACATATGTATATAAACATACGCACGACAAAAATGGATAGTCAGATCTGTGATCGGAAAAGATAAGTGCGGTGATCCCAGAAAAATATGTAGGGCAGAAGATCGAAATTTGTGCCGATTAGAAAGCAAAGCAACGCAGACGAACAAGGAACAAAGCAACGAAAGAAAAAGCAAAACAAATCAATAGGTTGATACGGTGTGTTGTGGACGAAGCACAGAGTTAAGCAACACTGTGTATCGAACTCATCAGCCTGACGAACGGAGGAGCGAAAAGGAAGACGAACGTACATCACAGATCGTCTCCGAAACGACGATGCTACCGGCAGCAGACGTCTTATGAAATGATACAAAAGCCGGCGAGGCCAATGCTGCCGTTGGGGCGTTCAAATTCCATAGGAATCGATTCGTTGGCATTACTAGAATCGAGGAGTGACGTGTCGCAGGGCATAGTAGATTCGGGAAGGTATGACGGGGATAAGGACTCGAGAACGACGAATGAGTCTGTCATACTGTATAATGGGTAACACGAGATGTGATAGATATTGTTTGTGAACGCAGGAATAGGTAACGCTGGATGGTGCGCTACAGGAGTTGCAATCGTTGTTAGGTTGAACGCGATGTTTACTATGCTGCTATGCGCAACGATGTTAAGACAAAGGGGAGAACTTGGGAGTCATGGTGATCCCTTTGTCCCTCTTTTATAACATGCCGCACGTCCACAATGATTCTCCGCTCGCCACGCCCATTGTGGATTGTGGATGTGGATTGTGAATTGTCTAATTTTGGACAGTCGGAGTCACAAATAATGGGCATTGTCCATTTCGGCTATGCACAGAATCACATCTAAACGTGCTGGCCCGAACTGTAGTATACTGAGAGAAACGGGTGATCAATGATAAATTGGTGCAGTTGCAGCCTATCTAATGTATACGTATGTAATACTCTTAGAGTACTTATCGTTCTCAGTAGTCTTGTCAAATGCCTGATCCGAGATCGTCATTTTAAGCTCAACGGTCCGAATTTAGAATTACCATGTTTGGCCATGTATCGTGTCCAACCCCTCCTACGCCATTGTTCGACAGCAATATGACGGAATCAAATTGCGCGTCGTGGCTCATCTGTCTTAGTGTCTTCTTTAGTGAGATAATATCATCGTACCTTTTACTGAATCATGCACCGTGAATTCCACCAGTGGTGAGCCCTCATTGCATATATTCACTTTATTTCAGTCACGGTAGGGCTCTTCACTCAGTTATGCCCGTACTTGACACTTACAGTGAGATGTATACACGACTAATTATGTCTGAAAGCTGATGCCCCCCGGGCCATTTTTTTTTCAGCTTAGGTACTCACCATCTTGATCGCTCTCGAGCCGGAACTTTCGGTGTACATTACTGGCCGGGCGTGTGTTAGCTGTACTTTGCTATATAGTATATAACCATAATGTCCATGGTGTCAATATATATGCAATGAGCGGCATTTGGGACGAGCGTGAAGCTGTAGCGCGCTATCAGGAGAAATCCTGTGTATATTCCAGGGGAAAATACCACTATAATGATAGCAAAGTCTATACCTTTTGGCAGATTACCAGGCGAGGGAATCTGAAAGACATCGCGGTGATATTCTCGTGCTACATTCTCTCCGTCCGACTTAGTACTCCGTCTTCCACACCGCGGGAGGCGGTTCAAATAATTTCAAGTATCAAAGAAACACAATCCAGTGTGAACGTGATTATCAGACAGCTGATATTTGGCATGTTTAATGTATGCGTAACGGCGTCAGCATGTCTAGATAAAACTCCAGTGGATAGACAAGACATAAAGTATGGGAGGTGGGTTGTAAATCCAAGCTCGCAGCTGGGGCCCGTGTCATGTACGTAGACAAGAAGTGAGGTGGAGATAGATACGAAATAATGACTTGAAGTCCAGTCATATCTGTACATATGTATATAAACATCATGATACGCACGACACAAATTGATAGTCAGACTTGTGATCGAAACAGATAGGTGCGGTGATCCCAGAACAATATGTATGGAAGAAGATCGAAATTTGGGCCGATTAGAGGCCAGAAAGCAACGCAACGTGGACGAACGAGGAACAAAGCAGCGAAAGAAAAAAGCAAAGCAAATCAATAGATTGATGGTGTGTTGTGGACGAAGCACAGACTTAAGCGACACTGTGTATCGAACTCATCAGCCTGACGAACGGAGGAGCGAAAAGGAAGACGAACGTGCATCACAGATCGTCTCCAAAACTACGACGCTACCGATGGTAGATGTCTTATGAAATGATACAAAAGTAGCCGGAGCCACTGCTGTGTGAGTGTTCAAACTCCATAGGAATCGATTCGTTGGCATTACTAGAATCGAGGAGTGATGTTTCGATGGGAATGGTAGACTCGGGAAGGTACGATGGGAATAAGGACTCGAGAACGACGAATGAGTCTGTCATCGGGTATTATAATGGGTGACCCGGGATGTGATAGATATTGTTTGTGAGCGCAGGAATAGGTAACGCTGGATGGTGCGCTACAGGAGTTGCAAGCGTTGTTAGGCTGAACGCGATGTTTACTATGCTGCTATGCGCAACGATGTTAAGACAAAGGGGAGAACTTGGGAGTCATGGTGATCCCTTTGTCCCTCTTTTATAACACGCCGCACGTCCACAATGATTCTCCGCTCGCCACGCCCATTGTGGATTGTGGATGTGGATTGCGAATTGTCTAATTTTGGACGGTCGGAGTCACAAATAATGGGCATTGTCCATTTCGGCTATGCACAGAATCACATCTGAACGTGCTGGCCGGACTGTAGTATACTGAGAGAAACGGGTGATCAATGATAAATTGGTGCAGTTGCAGCCTATCTATTGTATACGTATATGATACTCTTCTCAGTCTCTTGTCAATCCGAGATCGTCATTTTAAGCTCGGGGGTCCGAATTTAGAATTACCATGTTTGGCCATATAACGTGTTCAACCCATTGAACTCCTCCACCACTGTTCGACATGGCGGAATCAAATTGCGCGTCGTGGCTAATCTACGACATCTTAGTGTAAAGAGTTAGCAGTCAGTGCATACGTGGCCCGAGCCGAATGGTGATTGAGTTTCTGCAGGGCCGCAATATACGCGCAAGATTCGTGGCAGAGGCGGAATGTCATTAATCAAGTTAAAGTGTACGCAAGTAAGAAAAACTGTTCACCCGCCTATCTACTGCTTTCGTTACTCACCTCGGCTTGATGGCCCTTGTCAACGCTGGCATAGTACCAGTAAGTCTCACCTCGCGTCATATTGAAATATAATGTCCGCAGGCTTCTCGCGCAGTTGGTGAACGTGACAATGTCGCGAGAAAGACGGCACGGGTAAGCCTTGCTTCGGTTCAAATCTCATAATGTTACCCTCAGTTTACATTAATGTGCGTGGGCCTGGCCGATGTGGCATTTACTCCGGTAAGTCTTATTCCGCATCAAATACAATGAAGTTGGGATCATGGTACATTGTACGCGGGGAAACTACTATGCCGAATCAGACCTATATGCAGCACTAGTTGCAAAGAATTTCAAGTAGTGCTCACAAGGATACAAGACAAATCGAGATGCAAGGCGTATTACCGATTGTTTGTCTGCATCGCGTCTACGTGTCTATCGAACTTTACACAACAAGATCTCTACTATGGCCAGGCATTTGAGCCATCGAACCGCATAGCGCATTTTTATGATGTGGTGGGTGGCGCGAGAGGCGGGAGTAGATGCAGTTAAAGATGGTATATCGAGATAAGTCTCTGTACATCGAGATAAAAGAAGCCACTGACTGCGGTTTGAGGAAGTCTGAAGCACTCACGAAAGGCTTCTGCATTGAATCTAAGATCTACCACCTCTCACTGTAAATAAGATACTCTCACCTGCTGTTTGTTGCATCAACCTAGTATTATCACAATGGAATTTGTGTTCGCTCCTCGAAGTATATTGTGGTATGTGTCTTCGTAGCCACGACAATAGCTTCAAGAATCTCAGCGCCATCATCCAGAACGTCAGATTCGCAATTGTGGCAATACTAATCGTGAAGGGGAGCAGTACTGATCAGGGCGTGGCCGGCAACATGCCATACCATACTCGTCAGATTCCACCATTGTGTGCTTGTGTTGGTGCCAAAATGAGGAGTGGCCCGTTCTGGGTGAGCGACTTGGCTGCGGAGAAATAATCTAGAGGGGTTAAAGGATTAAGTGTGGGAGACGATGAATGAAATGAAAGTACACGGACTACAATATGTACTTAGTGTCGGGCTCTGCCACGAATCTTACAGAGCATGCCGTAACTTGAACAGTATTCGATCAGATCGACTGAAGCCACGTATGCGTTGATAGCTAACACTTTTACATCTCCATAGAGAAAATCGAAACCCATACAATGTTACACCGTCTTCGGTGGAGTATAAAAGCAGACAGTACCGTGATAAAGTTAGCTACAACCTGTCTAGTTTACACAAGTAAACTCACCATCATGTTTGCCCGTCTCTCTACTGCTTTCGCTATTCTCCTCGGCTTGACGGCCCTTGTCAGCGCAGTACCAGTAAGGCTAAGCCTCGCCTCGCGTCAAATCTGCTCACATTGACCTATGATGTCAGCAGGCTGCTGCTCCTATAGCTGGTAACCTTGAGAGGCGCGACAATGTCTTGAGAGAGGTAAGCCTTGTTTCGCATCAACTCTCACCGCGTTCCTCACCTTACAATGCCCATAGACCAAATATGTGGTACTTGCACGCGTAAGCCTTTTTTTTGCACCAAATCCTATCGTGTTAACCTCACTGCATGTAATGTACGCAGGAAGAGGCTCCCGAACCAGACCCAGACCCAAGGAATTAGTAAGCCTTGTTTCGCATCAGTTGACCGGGACCTCACTAAACACTGTCACGGTATGCAGGGCAACTCAATGTACCGCAAGGCAACCACTATGCAGAATCAGACCAAAGTTTATATATGCAGAACCAAGTTGCAAGAAATCTCCAGTAGAACATAAGCAGTGCTCACAAAGATACAAGACCAATAGAGATGCCAGACGTATTGCCAGTTGTTTGTTTGTTTTCGTCCAGTGTGTCTGGAACTTGTGTGAGGCTCCGGCGAAATCTAACTTGAATGGGCTTACATGTATAACAAAAACCTTCAGTAATTCATGAGAAGTATTAGAAAAAAATCAATACTTGATTTGCCTTCGTACCTCTGAGAAGGACTGAGTGAAGCTCTTGCATCAGAGCTCATCACGACCCAATGATGAGAGTCTCATTCCAGTCTTCCCTAGCCGCTTTCGCCGTTGCCTACTACTAAATTTACCTTATTTGGTTCCTTATTTGGCATATCAAATATTGGAACTTACCTTTCAGTGGCGATGACCACTTACTATCGTTGAATCTGCACCGACTTGAAGCGGCGCGTGAGGAAGGCCACGTTCTCACTCTCCTCTCACCATATTCTCGAATTCTGGCCCTAATCGTATGTTCTATTCACGGCGACCTCATTGCGACCTCCATCTCACATTTACAGCGGGGACCACAGAATCTCTTTTGTGATTAGTATTTAGATGTGCTAGTTGAAGACATTTCATGGTACCCGCGACCCACCGTGAGTCCTGTTGCATGTCTGCCTCCCCCACTAAGCTTATGACAATCGAGAATCGAGACAGCCCTCTTGATGAACATATACATTGGAACCTGTCACAACAGGCTCTATCGACGCAGTCCGGGGGTAGAACAACCCGCAATCCTTGCAACTACAACTTTCGTGATAACCAGTTTACTCCGAGTCACCAGTCTACAATCTCAATGGAATTATAACACCATCCAGCGTTTCCTGTGCGCATCTATGGCTCTAATACTAATCCACTCGACTGCTCAATCTCAACCACGCTGACTGCCTTTAAGATCAATATCTAACAGGCTCTCCGCTCTTTGGCATTCAGCACCTGGTACTCCTTACTTTTCCGGTACCGCAACTCGACGATGATGCTGCGAATCATACTCGTTACTGCAATGCACACATTCTTTTCATGCGTAAGTACATAAATGTGGGTGTTGCATACGAATGACATTGACATATTTGGGAGGCATTCATATAGCGTGGCGCGCTTTGTTAGAAACCAGTCAACTCTGAGAATTCGAGGTGGCCCAGCATAAATATTGTTACCAATGGAGGCTTGACACGATTGAGATTATCCTTCTATCGCGCAGGCTCCTTGTTGGCGTAAATGGAAGTCTTGCAGGTGGCAAAACTTGACGAGGTTAAAAGGCCAGCGAAGGTGAGCTCCCGTTTTCTCTTTGAACCCACTCCAGGTCTGGCCACGCATGCCCCATGTTGCCGAAATCGGCATCACTTAACGCGGAGACAATGTTGCCTTTCCACGTGGACACTACATAGGGAATGTAGCGATAGTCAGTGATGCAGGGTGTTGAGGTCATGCCAGTGATTCCTTTGTTTTTATTGAAGTTGTCCTCACTTTTGTGTATATGTATGGTGCTGATGCCATTGCTTGTGGGCACCGACGTGAATCATCGACATCACAATGTGATGGAACTCATCGGTGCGTTCAATCGTGATAATGACGTGGCCTTGTCGAGCTAGCAAAACCATCATAGTATCTCCACCGCCTGCCTGTTGCACTTGCATCCACCGTGAGTGTGTCGGTTTGTTACGACTCCACAGCGCCAGCCTTTCGAGTTATTAATGTGTTTTGGACCATGGTTTTCATGGAACCTTGTATGATCATTCTTATGAAGCGTTGTACATGCCATGTTGACGGCATTAGGTCCACTTGGCAAGTTGTTGTCGTGCGTACTTCTTCTACAGCTCTTTCGCCTCTTCCGAATTAGGGTCGAGATCGTCCACTTCTTCGTCCTCCAGTACGAGGCGCTTGTGAAATTCCGCTGGACTGCCACCTCGGCCACGGCCTCGTGCACTGAGGTAATTGCCTTCCACCTCGAGACTTTCCACGACCTCTGCCACGAGGATGCGATGGTTCGGAGGTTGATGTAGATGGAGAATTCGATTCTGACATGTTACATGTGCAGGTTGATGGGGATGGTCATGGTGGAGATCGTGGTGACTAAATAGAAATTCTATATATCTGAAAAGGAAGGCGGCGTCTTGTGATTTCAACAGATCTAAACAAACTACTGGTGTCTGCGTGTGTAGGGTAGGTTGCTTTGGTACCAGTACGCGTCTATGGTTGAAATTTCGCGGTTTCAGGGCCCTTGGTGTACATTGCAGTGTGGGTACTGGCTGTGTTTATTGTTCTGCGACACGCTATTCTCGTGTGTTTTCCAATACAATAAGCAAAGCGTTGAGGCTCAATCGCTCATCAATAATTATTGGGGTGATACACGTGAAGCTTTGACATGTTGATCAGATATGGACGAGCTTTCAATCATTTGAAACTTTTGGCCTCCACATTTTATTGTTAGGCCGTCACGTCCAAGATCACACTAAGTAGTACTCTGATGCGGCTAGAACCACAATATGCAGGAAAGCAAAAATTGAATAACCTCGAGTATGTACACGAATATCGAAAATATATGAGTAGCATGCGGCATAGTACATAGTCAAACATGCCCGAAACTAAAGGAACAGGGCAGAACATGAGTCATTCGACAATGCGAAAGCGATAACGATGGCGACGATACAAGTTAGAGATAATGATAGACAGAACCATAATATTCAGAAAAGAAAGAGCTCAAGGCAAAAAGTAGCTGGGGTGCACAAATGTCGAAAATGAGTAATGTTGTACAAGCAGTGAGTCGGGAGTTTACATAGGAGCCACCACACATCCCCAGAGATGCAGACGGCAAGATGAACGAAGTGGTGAAGTAAAGGATGGTACAAGAAGATCGGTGAATAGACAACACCGCACGAGCAGCGAGTGCACTGTACTCATTCAAAAGATGAGTCGTGTCGCGGGCAGGGGGGCAGTAGAAGGCCAGCAGTGCCAACAATGATAGTATGTCAAGACTCGTCTGGAGAAAGCGTTATTCGAGGAGGGTGGATATGAAGCATGATGACTCGCATGAAAAGGATTATGATATGGTGCAAAACCCGCCTTGCCCAAACACGGTTTTCCCAGAACTATAATATTCCTCGTCAATAGGGCATGCGGGTGTGTCGTCTGTGGACTCATGCAAGTCCGGTAGTGGCTTCGAAAATATTCCCAAATATGTTGAAAACGAGTCCATCAGGGTAGCTGGATGGCGCGGTACAGAAGTTGCAAGTGTTGTTGGGTTAGATGCAATGTATGCTATGTTGCTATGCGCAACGATGTTAAGACAAGGGGAGAAAACTGGGAGTCATGGAGATCCCTTTGTCCCTCTTTTATAACACGCCGCACGTCCACAATGATTCTCCGCTCACCACGCCCATTGTTGATTGTGGATGTGGATTGCGATTCTGTCTAATTTTGGACAGTCGGAGTCACAAATAATGGGCATTGTCCATTTCGGCTATGCACAGAATCACATCTAAACGTGCTGGCCCGGACTGTAGTATACTGAGAGAAACGGGTGATCTATAATAAATTGGTGCAGTTGCAGCCTACCTATATTTTGTATACGTATATGTGATACTCTTCTCAGTCTCTTGTCAAACGGCTGATCCGAGATCGTCATTTTAAGCTCGGCGGTCCGAATTTAGAATTACCATGTTTGGCCGCATCTAACGTGTTCAACCTTCACCACTGTTCACCATGGCGGAATCAAATTCCGCATCGTGGTTTTCTACGACATCTTAGTATCTCCTTTAGTGGGATGTTGTTATCGCAGCTTTCACTCTCATCTCCGCATCGCACTCACTACAAAGCGAGTCCTTGCTCCTCTGTTGCGACAATCATCCCTATCCACCTCGCGCTCACCACAAATCATGTCCTGCTCGTCAATGGATTCGTTTGACACAATCCTGGAGGTATCTGAGTTCTTCTAGCCAGATCTACCGCTATCCCCAGATCAGGGTCATTGCAGCAGCGACGAGGCTCACGAACAATATTCTTTGGTGGACACAGACGCGAAATGGGGCTATGCTGGATATTGCATAATATCATGAACAGCGATGCTGTCTTTTGGGCTGCGCGTGTCGATTATATAAGTGAGTGGACAACTGTGGATGATCATTATTGTGTCTGATCGTGGATTTGACCTCCTCTCCACAGACAATCGCAACTGTCAATACCGTTAACTCAAGGCTGGCCATGCAGAGCAACCAGCCTATTTATTGTGCAGTCTCCACAACGAGAAACATGTTTCTTAAATCATCCATCCGGTGCATTTCTTGTACCACACACCTTGCGAACTTTCGGTTCCTTCGCTTTCATTTCTTTTACGCAACTTTCGAGCTTTCGGTTATTTCGATTTCTTGTACATACCTTTCGAGTTTTCGGTGCTTTCGTTACTTTCACTGCTTTCAGTTTCATTTTGGACACAGTTTTCTCTAAATGCCTGAGATTCGTGGTGATGAGTATTTACTCAAACTACCTCACGGCGTATATCGAAGATGTAGCTATGTATTACATAGTTAATTTGCTTACGGTTGTAGGATACGTGGCAGCACACGCCTGTATCTTCCCGTAGAAAACAAGCAGAATAAACAAGGGATCGCAATTTTCATTGCCTATCACATTCACCTGTGTGACGCAATTTAGCATTAGATCGCATAAATATTTACATAAACTAAAAAATTAAAATTAAAATTAAAATTAAAGTTGTTATGCAAGTTGTGCCTGCCCGCATGTTCAATTCACGGCGTCACCCATGTACGTTTCTGTCTTGCGTTCGCCAGCAGACGACGACAGACTCATTCGTATATCTCGGACCTCAGACGTTTGCATCTCTGATTAAGCTTGTACGCCCAACTTCAATTACAAAGACATGGACCACTGTAACTATCCGGAAGTCAAACGACCATTCCTTGACACGAGAGCTTTATCTTCCCCGCTTGGTCACGAATCAGAGAGCGAATCTAGCGAGGTTTCCGGCTCCGAAACGCCCTCTCCGTCAGCCAGACCTTCTGCCCGATTCCCGTCGTTCACTCCTCCGCTCGAGGAGAATGGGAGCTCTGAAACATCCCCAAATCTTGAGGCTGAGAGTAGTAAGGGGTGGTATGAATTTGACCTTTCGGTCATACTCGCGCTAGTTTCGCCCATCGGAAACTGGTTGACAGGAGGAGACCACGTCAAGAATTTCCTTCTCGTTCTTCTCCTGATATTCTATTTGCACCAAATTATCGAAGGTAGGTGCTTTGTTTCATTCTGAAGGCGTAAGATCTAAACTTGCACAGTACCGTGGAGCCTCTATCATCTCTCGAGACCCAGACGTCGTTCCCCGGATGTACCACCCCATCGAACGTCTGAGCAGGATCCCTATCATCAAATTGCTTCGTCAGAGCTACACAAGCTCGAAATTTTCTACCTGTTTCTGACTATTCTGTCGCCGTTGCTCGGAGTCGCAATCCTTCGTGTCGTCATCATATCTGTCGCCGGTCCAGAGACTATAACATGGTTCAGTACCTCCCTCTTCATTCTCGCCACCGGTATGCGGCCTTGGAAACACGCGGTAGAACGTCTCCGTCAACGCACAAAAGACTTGCATACTGTCATTCACTACCCCCCAGCCAGCTCACCAGATACGCAGTCGCAAATCGAAGCTCTGGCTGCGCGCGTCGCCGAATTAGAGGCTCAGCTGAAAGAATGCAATGAAACCGTGAAGGCTCTCACAGAAGACGTTTTCGACCACGTGGAGGGAGCCGTTGAGGGGTTAGATAAATCTATGCGGAAACAGGAGAAGAAGAATGATGCTTTCTACTCTGCGCAGGAATTGAGACTCGCAACGTTGGAACAAAACATGGAAGCGTTGCTGGAGAGGAAAGAAATTTCAGGCCACGGTTCGACTCTATCTTACAATCTTACTTCCGCATTCCATGCAACCATGGCTGAACCACTCGCACTCATCTTTCCAGAGTGGGCACGTAGCTCTCGCCGAGACAAACACCCACCATCTCCTCGCTCTTCCCCAAAAATTGGTCGTTCCCGTACCGCCACTAAGCTTGAGACGATACCAGAAGGCGCCACTTTTACACCCAAGAGAGTTCGATATCGCTTTCCCTCCCTCCGTATTCCAGGTTTGAAATTCGTCCTGCGCATCGGCGATTTGGCAACCTTACCCGTCCGACGGGTAGTGGCTTATCTCCTCATGGGCCGCGTCTATGAGCCTAATGCGCCTACTTCCTCGCTTTGAACAGCTTTACCACCGAAGTTTTATGTCTTACCATTATTGTTCCTTTAGCATCGCATGGACTTCTTTCCCACGTCTCCTCATATTTTTATCCGCGCATTGATATTCCGACGGTTCTGTCTTTCCTCATGATTACCGGTATACACGAATAAATGTACTGTACGCTTGTGCGTCAAATTTTGTATCAATATCCAATTGTAAGCAGGCTTTGTTGTTCCTCTCGTGAAGCTTGATGCTGCTCTATATTTCACCGCAGACGTCTCTACCCAAGCTGAGATTGATTTCCACATGCTTCTAGACCGTCCAGCTTCACACCAACGTCTAAACTTAAAGCCTTAGAACATGCCTTTTTGGGGCATTTGCTTGATGTTTACTGATTCCGGCCATCCCCTGTCATGCGGCTAGTCCCTCGGTCAAACGTCCCATCGTATGTGTCCTTATACTTTCTTCGGCAAAGAGCTTATCAGGTCTAGAAAAGGGTGAGTATACAGATTTTGTGTCATCGTGTTCTTGTACTTCACTTCACACTGCTTCCAAGGGCGCAGCTCACTGATTAAAAGCAATGCAGCAGCCTTTCGCTGAGACCCGTATGCCCTTATTGTCTCCCCAGACTGTCTTTCGTTTTTGAAATGCAGACAGAGATACCGGTACTTTCGTTCATTTCCGCAGTGCTGGTTCTCTTTCCGTTGCCCTGGTATTTTCGGGCTCGCAACATCGCTGCAATGTCTATTGGAATTTGGCTGTTTGTTGTGAACATAATCAATGCTATAGATACCCTCCAATGGGCTGGAGCCTACCAAATACCATCCTTACTCTGGTGTGACATCAGTTGAGTGTTTTGACATCAAATATCGATGTGGACTGAAATTTTCGTAGCTTCAGCACTGATGACAGCCGTGAATGTGTCTATACCCGCGGCATGCCTCTGTATTTGCATTCACCTGGAACGGATGGCGTCGTTCTGCCAAACGTCCACCTCTGTGACAAAGCGACGCCGTATTTTACTCGAATGTCTAATGTGTTTCGGAGTTCCGTTAGTATATGCGGCATTGCGTGCGTACTTGCTATGGGCTCCTCCACAATGTTTATTGATACATCATTGATAGATCTAATTGTTCAACCTCGACGCTTCGATGTATATGAAAATTTTGGATGTCGCTGGGCAACATATCCCACTACGGTGGCTTTGTTCGTTGTCTGGATGCCGCCGCTTGCACTTTCTCTTCTTACTCTAATTTTTTGCGGTAAGTCAGTCCATTGTTGTATACATCCATACGAGGCTAAGTCTTTGCAGGCATTACTTGGCGTCACTTTCTGCTTCATGGCGTCCAATTTTCGAGGACACGTGCATCTTCGTCGCTTACTTCTGGAGCCTACATTCGGCTCGTTAGTATGGCGATTTCAGAAGTCATGTGTACTATATTGGCGACTGTAGTGGCCATGATATTTAATCTTAGCTCAGGGCTGGCTCCATGGGCAGACCTTACTCGAGATTTAACCGAGGTCTTGTCGCTCAGCTCCGCTGCGACACCTAAATCAATCACCGCGATGCTCATCACTGAGTGGGCCATCGTAATCGCGCAATCCTTCTTCTTCGTCGGATTGTTTGTGCTTGGAGGGGAGGGGCGCAGTCGATTGCACGAGGCTCTGCAGGTTATGCGGAGGGTTTTCAGTTTCTGTGAGAGACGGTCAACTTGTATCGCTGAGCTCAAAGGTAAATCCACCACAGAATGGTATGTTTCTTCGTAACACCAGCAGATTTCTTCTGAATACATCTGATCAGCGACTTGACACCAGTTCCGTCTCTGACAATTCTCGAGTTCAAGAGCGCCACCACTGTATCTAGTACCGAGTGCACTTATCACGGTTATTCATCCGAGAAACCTCTCCCGCCTTCACCAGCCCTGTCGCGGCCCCCATCACTTGACCTTACGGATGCAAAGCAATTGGAAGAAGGTCCTGACTTTCTTGATCCCGCGCTCCTCCCGCTGGAATCACCCTCGGGCCACTCTGCTATTGCATCTTCACATAATTCTCTCCAATCAAATTTCGACCCGCAACAGCTTCTTCTACCTTCGATGCAGTGGCCTGTACCCCCATCAACGGCCATTGTTCGACCACACCCGAGGTCCTCAAGCCTGAACTTTTTCCACACCGAAGGTTCGCCATTCTATGGGTCCGCAGTGCCACGCAATAATTACTCGAGAGATTCAAAGAATCGTAATGCTGTCTACATGACGGTGGTAAGCGAGATCTACGAAGCGTTTTAGTTGTCTATTTTATTTTCTCATGCCATTCCTTTTACTTTGTCGTCCCGTTGAGGACGTTGACTCTGTGTCGGATAGCACTATACGTGATGTGTCGCCGACTTTGTGCTTTCGTGTTCCTGATTCCTGATGTATTCGTCGTTCCTTTCCCCGCCTTCATTTGTATGACTTTCCTTGCTGTGTTGATTAGTGCTTCATGTCCACCAAGTGTCTGTATCAATAGCCAACGTGTATCACAGTTTTGTTGTCGAAATCCATTATCTTCATTCGTCTCCATGGCACAGGGAAGACTTGCATGGGTGATGGGAGAAACGCGGAAAACATACTGGAAAAGGCAATTCTCCAAATCCCTCCTTTACGGCAACAGCCGCTCTTATTGTCCGTCGCTTTGGGAATGTCACTATTGTCTCAGAGGCTCTCACTAACGTTCATAAGTGCTGTCGTTGCGGAATCGTCTTGCTTTTGAACCCCCACCATTTATGCGGCCAGTCCTTCAAGTTGCGGGCTTGAAATTGTCCAGTTTCATGGAACAATCGATTTCGCGTCCATCTCTGCTCTCCGAGGCTCGGGGTGCTATTCCTTGGTGACACTTTGTATTCTGACGCGTGTATGCAAAGTACCCGCAGCAGCAGCGGCCCGCAAAGTTCAAGTCCCACCAGCGATTTATCAAGCCAAACAGAGAACAAGGGTGTTACAAAGTCCTAGGTGCAGAATTCGTCAATGATTCGATAAACCAGCTGGATTTCTAATTTTATTCTTCATAGTTTGCACAACACAGTGGACCGCGACAATCATCATTGGATGGATCATCACTCGTTCTCTTCTACCAACTTGCCAGCTCCTCCATGTCCGTGAGCACGTGGGAATTGATCTCCATTCCGGACTGTCTTATCACTTCATTTTCATGTGAGCAGCTTTCGCCGGAACTTTCTGATATCTCATGATCATGGGACGTCCGAACTGTGCCGTGCCTCTGTCAAAGATGCTCTTCGGTGCGCCATTTGGGCGTATTTAAAATAACGCTTCACCCGCCTTACCTTTTCGGTGAACAAACATGCGTCCATATATGGACATCAGTTTGTTGGTCAAAAAGGGAATGCTGGCATCTGCAAAGTATTCAAACACGCTATACAACTCCCGAGCACAAGGGGATGTCCAAATCGGACGACAAGGTGGACGAACTTTCGAAGGCTTTAATAGGATGGCTTTGCATGGCTATGACCCTTAGCTTCACCCCGTTGACGTTCCCTCTGCTTAGCCTCATCGCAGGATTGCCAGTCTTCCAAGCCAGCCACCCCTATCCTCACGTAGCGCCATCAACAACTGCGTTGTTAAGATGTTCAACTCACCGGATTGGGTGTTCTCTATATTTGCCTTCATCGGATTCTTGTGCTGCATGATTCCGCTTCCCTGGCATTTGGAGGGTCAGCTATTTCGCAGCATTTCCCATGTGTCCTACATGATCTGACCGATACTCTAGCTTGGAACACTGGAACCTGTCTTTACATGATCTGGACTGGCCTAGGCTGCTTGATCCACTTCATTAACTCAATTGTTTGGAGGGCGAATATGATTAACTGGGCCCCAGTGTGGTGTGATATCAGTAAGCAATTTCTTCAAGTTCTCGGCGCAAACAAAATAATGCTTGTTTCGTAGCCACCAAATTCATGATCGGGCTTTCCGTTGCTATTCCTGCATGTTCTCTCTGCGTAAATCGTCGTCTCTACCACATCGCATCAGTTTCTTCGGTCACGAAGACGAAAGCTCAGAAGAGGCGCGATATTATGACCGATCTGGCTATCGGCGTCGGTATTCCCGTCCTGGAGATGGTTCTGCGTACGTTCGTGTGTCGAAAGACGTCGGACTGTGATTGACGTGCTACCCCAGATTATATCGTGCAAGGACATCGGTTCAACATCTTTGAGGAAATCGGATGTTATCCGGCCACTTATAACACCCCTCCTGCATATGCACTGGTATTTACATGGCCCTTGATCATTGGATGCATCTCCGCTTATTATTGCGGTACGTTTATTGTGATAATCGGTTAAATCGTCGCTGATCATTTTGTGATTCAGTCCGCACCATTATGGAACTAGCCCAGCGCAGGGCGCAGTTCATGGAGTTCCTTTGTGCGAACAAGAACCTGAATTCCAGCCGTTACTTCCGCCTCATGGGTCTTGCTGGCATTGAAGTGTTATGCACGCTTCCTCTGGGTGCCTATGTCATCTACCTCAATGCTACTGCCGAAGACATTTACCCCTGGATCAGTTGGGCGGACACACACTCCGACTTCTCTCATGTCGATCAAATTGCGTCATATTTTTGGCGCCAGAGCAATCCTCTTACGCTATCGCTTGAGCTCACCCGGTGGCTCGTCGTCATCTGCGCACTCGTATTCTTTGCTTTCTTCGGATTCGCCGATGAGGCCAGGAAGAACTACCGCCTTGCCTATGTTTCAGTTGCGAAGCGCGTGGGTCTTTCGACAGCTGGTACTGTGTCGACTGGAGGGTCTTGGACCGCCAATGGGTATGTTGTCATACTTCAACACTTGATCATGTCATCTGACAAGCAAATAGTTCGAAGTCCGGGATGGCGTACAACAGCCGTGCTGGCACAATACCCGTGTTCATTACTTCACGCACCGAACGGAAGCGCGATTCTCTCACTTCGTTCTCCACCGACATCTCCATCGGCGACTTCAACAACACATTTGACGATGCTAAGGAAATTCCATACTCGCCAACAGACACTGTAATTGCCACGGGCTCGATATCAAAGGAGTCGCGTCCGAGCACGCCTGTTGATGGACAGACAATCCCCCTGCCAGACACACCTATTGTTGTGCGGCCTGACCCCACACTTGACATCAACTCAGTCATCCACGTCGTTGCCCATTCACCTGAATCGCGACGCAATTCATTCGAAATCGTTTGATCTCAAAATCCACAAAAACAATCCGCTTTCTTGCTTTCCGCTTTCTCTGCATAGTTTTGTTTTATTGTATTGTTAGCTCATTCACTGGCACTCCCTGGAATCTGGACGTGGCGACTCGGTTTTGATTTGTTCGGATACCCACTACTCTCGACTACCTTATCACTATCTGTATGAAATCGTTTAGACACTGTAGCATTCCTCCACGATAGGTCGGCCAAATTGAAATAGATCATCTTCAAACATGAGATGGAACACGCGGGGATTTCATATCAGTGAATAAATCAATCGCGAACACAGGCTGGAGATATGGTTTGATCAGTTGGCCGATTGGGATCCTGCCTATTAATTATAAGGCCTGGCATCTTACGCAATGCACTTCGGGCTCAGTCACTTCTCTCTAGACTCTCATGATCGATCATTCCAGTTCTATTGAGATTTTGTTAATGTGACCTATCCGAACAATCGAGTTATGCCTTTAGATTGCACGGTCCATGGATCGTCTGGAGGCGTTGCAGCACAGGAGCGTCGCAGTAGCTACTCGGAAATTGATGGCATAAGACACGGGGATTATACTTTCATACACTGCACATAAGGTTCGTTCAATTTGTTGAGAACTGCCAGTGCGCTCAAAATCCTCCCCGTTCATTCGTCAGTTTCTCGGCACTGGTGCGTTGTGGTGAGGTATATATACAAGTAACTTGGCGATGCCGTCAACTATACCTTGAAGCGAACTGAAGCAAACCTCCTGGGGAAGTCCTGGAGCTTGGGGTCTTGAACCCTGTGAATGCCGTGAGTGTGTTCGAATTTTCTATCTTTGTGGTTTTGTGAAGCGAGCAAGCTCGCGATCGAAGTCATAACAGGGTGCTACAAACTCTCCGACGATGAATACTTCTTCGTGCGCTGGTTTGGACGAGGCTTATTCGTGTTTGCTCCCTTATTTTCACTTTCAGTAACAGTATGGTTGCAGCCAAAATCTGCTTGCTTCTCTGTGCCACTGGAGCGCAATATTATGCGATAACACCTCCAAATGCCAAACCTCCTGCAAAGGAGCTTCTGGATCCAACTGGTTTCGAAGTTGTTACCTTCACCCCTTGGGTAACTATTGCATTGAAGGTACTTTCTAGCGCCAAATTCTACTTGCATTTTACTGATTAATTACCCTTTAAGAGCTTTCTCGGTGTATGCGTTATGTCAGATATCTTTCTTGCATACGCAACGGGAAAGGAATCAAATGCCATCTCAGAATCAATCACCACCCTTCTAGTCCGCGGTGACCTATGTTCCCTCTCGGCCTTGGACCATTCCGCGTTGTCACCCGCACTTATAGCCGGGTCTTGCCTGAGCATTATCGGCGGTGCTATTCGCATCTACTGCTATTCGGCTCTAGGCAGGCTTTTCACTTTCCAACTCAGCATCCGCCAGGACCATAACCTGGTCACATCCGGCCCTTATTCCATCGTTCGACACCCCAGCTACACCGGTGCATTATGTCTTGATCTGGGCATCTTGCTCTGTCATTTCCACACTCGGTCATGGCTGGTTTCTTGTTCGGGCATGTTTCCTTCATCTGGCCAATGGGTCCAGTTGACTTTGGGATGTCTTTGGGTGGCTGCGCTTAGTCTTGTTTTTTATATGTTTGGACAACGTATCGTGAAGGAGGAGGCGATGTTGCAGGGACACTTCGGAGACCAGTGGAAAGACTATGTGAAAAGGGTGCCTTATAGACTATTTCCGTGGTTGTACTGATGACTGTAATGTATGTATTCAAGACGCTATGTATCAAGGCACTAACATGACAATTTCTTGATCGCTGGTTCACAGGGGGATGATGAAAGGAAAGGAGAACGCTCCGTGGTGCAAGATATGATCATCAGGGGTACGAGAGACATTGTTTCAGTAATCGTGAAATGAAGAGTTGGGCTCAAAAATCCTTGCCGTTCATCCGCCAGTTTCTCGGGTGAGTATGGACTCAAAAGGCGCCAGTTTTCGAGGTTCAAAGGGCATGAGCTGTCAATTGAAAAAGGCGTCTGATAGAGCAACAACGTGGTCACAAGTCTTGACGGTGCTGAGACCTTAATCTAAAGTGAAAGCTGAAGGACATCCGAAGGCACTGAAATTCCGAATCCTTCGATCCGGTTCATCCGATGATGAATTCGTCTTCATGCGCTGGTTCGGACGAGGCATATTTGCGGTACTTGATTTCCGTCAGCTTGCAGATCGGTGACAGTGTCAACATGCAATCAGCCGAGTACGATCCTCGATTAGGCTCATGAATTCTGATAATAGCGTCGCATGCAGGGATGCATGGGAAGGTGTCAGGAAGCACGCCAACGTGTATGCTCTGTTACACATAAATTTGGAAAGGGAGTATGTAGAAGTTGCAGCCTCAGGCGAGAATAAGTGTTAACCTTATTTTACGTACATAAATCATTTAAGATCCCAAATATTCCCAGGGGGAGCCTGCGGAAACCTTTACTCCCTAGCTGTGTCGCTAATACTATGTAGCTTGTGTGGAGTTTGTGGACCTTCAAATGATGAGTACCTCTAACAGTTTGCTCCCTTACTTTCACTTTCAGTAACATCATGGTTGCAACCAAGATCTGCTTGCTTCTCTGTGCCACTGGAGCGCAGTATTATGCAACAAGACGACCAAATGCCAGACCTACTGCAAAGGAGATTCTGAAGCCCGCTGGTTTCGAAGTTATCACCGCCACCCCTTGGATACCTCTTGTAATGAAGGTATTTTCTAGCGCCAATTTCACTTGCACATTACTGATCCAATCGCTTGTCAAGAGCCTTGCCGGTGTGTGCGTTTTGTCAGATATCTTTCTTGCATACGCAGCGGGAAAGGAATCCAATACCATCTTAAAATCAATCACTACCCTCCTAATCCGCAGTGATTCATGTTCTCTCTCGGCCTTGGACCATTCCATGTCATCGCCCGCACTTATCGCCGGGTCTTGCCTGAGCATCATCGGCAGTGCCATTCGTATCTACTGCTACTCGACTCTAGGCAGGTTCTTCACTTTCGAACTCAGCATCCGCCCGGACCATAAGCTGGTCACGTCTGGCCCTTATTCCATCGTTCGACACCCCAGTTACTCCGGCGCATTATGTGTTGTTTTGGGCATCTTGCTCTGTCATTTCCACACTCGGTCATGGCTGGTTTCTTGTTCGGGCATGTTTCCTTCATCAGGCCAGTGGGTCAAGTTGATTTTGGGATGCATTTGGACGGCTGCGCTTGGTCTTGTTTTTTCTGGGTTTGGGCGACGTATCGAGAAGGAGGAGGCGATGATGCAGGGAAACTTTGGAGACCAGTGGAAAGACTACGTGAAAAGGGTGCCTTACAAACTAGTTCCGTGGTTGTACTAGATCACCGTCATTTATTTAGGGCACTGAAATACTGTAATGTCAACGTCTTGATCGCTGTATTACAGGGGGATGACGAAAGGAGAAAAGGTATGATAACAGAGAACGCTTTGGGGTGTAAGAAGTGATCATCAGGCGGATGAGATGTGGTAATTTCAGTAATTGCGAGCAGAAATCGGTATCAATGTTATAGGTTTTGATTGTGGACTGTAAGTGCTGAGAACATGTCGACGAGATGCAGTTGCGGGACGGAAAGAAAGGAAGCACGAACAGGTGCAGCTGTTGAAGTGAATCGACGTTGCCGTGTGAACGAACCATGATTATCGAGAACATTGATTCTCGCGAAGCGGTTTACGAGCCCATCGATGAACGCTATTCCTTGACGGAAAAGATCATATGAACCATGAAGGTGGTGCAAAGGTGAACGTCCGAAGACGATGAGCTTAGGAATGCTTCGATCCAGTTCATTGAAATATGGTGAATCCTTCTTCGTGCGCTTGTCCAGACGAGGCTTTAGCAGTGATTTCCGTCAACTTGCAGATCGGTGACAGTGTCAACATGCGATCAGGGTCACCAGGCCAATTATGTGATCCTCGACTGGGCTCACAGATTCTGATACTGGCGTTACAAGGATACATGTGAAGGTGCGAAGTACGTCGTCGTGCATGCCAAGGAGTCTTGCGGCAAGTTGCGGGTGAGAATGCATTTGAAATCAAGCGGACTTCGGAACGCCAGACCGTGCCTTGTCAGAGCAGCTGCTGGCCGCCAGCAGACACTGGCTGTACGGTCGCTATATAGCTTGTGTTGAGCTTCTGAGACCTCTGTGTGCTCCCTTACTTTCAGTAACAGTATTTATGGTTGCTGCCAAGATTTGCTTGCTTCTCTGTGCCGCTGGAGGGCAGTATTATGCAATGACACCCCCAAATGCCAGACCTCCTTCAAAAGAGCTTCTGAATCCTACTGGTGTGGAGGTTGTCATCCCTTGGGTGCATCTTGCAGTGAAGGTACTTTCCAGCGCCACTTCCACTTGCACATTACTGATCAATTGCCCTTCAAGAGCTTTCTCGGTGTGTGCGTTTTGTCAGATATTTGTCTTGCGTACACAACGGGAAAGGAATCAACTGCCATATCGAAATCCATTATTACTCTTCTAGTCCGCAGTAACTCTCTCTCGGCCATGGACCATTCCGCGTTGTCACCCGCACTGATCGCCGGGTCTTGCCTGAGCATCATCGGCGGTGCTGTTCGTGTCTACTGTTATTATACTCTAGGCAGGTTCTTCACTTTCGAGCTCAGTATCCGCCAGGACCATAAGCTGGTCACATCTGGCCCTTATTCCATCGTTCGACACCCCAGCTACTTTGGTGTCTTATGTATTGTTCTGGGCGTCTTGTCCTGTCATTTCCACACTCAGTCATGGCTGGTTTCTTGTTCGGGCTTGTTTCCTTCATCAGACAAGTGGGTCAAGTTGACTTTGGGATGCATTTGGGCGGCTACGCTTCATATAATTTATGCGGGGCTGGGAGAACGTATCCGGATGGAGGAGGCGATGTTGCAGGGAAACTTTGGAGACCAGTGGCGAGCTTATGTGAAAAGGGTGCCTTACAGAGTAGTTCCGTGGTTGTACTAGGTCACCGCCATTTATTTAAGACACTATCAAGGCACTAGAATACTGGAATGACAACTTCTTGATCGCTGGTTTACAGGGGGATGACGAAAGAAGAAAAGGTACAACAACAGGGAACGCTCCGCGGCGCGAGCAATGATCATCAGGGGTATGAGCGACGTAATTGTTTCAGTAATGGTGAATGAGAACCAAGAAAAAGGGATGTCCGCCAAGCCAGTAAAAGTGGACGGTACGCACAACCAGTAGCTGAGATCCAACATCACTTCAACCCGTCGGCTTTGCCTTCATCAGGTAGAGCTGTAACCCCCCCTCCACATACTGATTCAGACGTTCCCTCAGCTCGGCGATTGTGTTATCCCGTGAATCCTGCCCGTAGTCAAATGCTGCGATCCGCAGGCAAAATTTTCCCAACTTAGGGCTAGCACTGCACCTCGACTCTACAAGCTCCGTCACCCTATCGACGGAAATACGCTTCGAGCATTTGAGACTCAACGATGAGAGTTGAGGACAGATGGAGGCGCCTTGAGATGCTCCGGATAACACGAGGCTGTCCACGAGGTTGTGATTGAGCTGAAGAGGGCCAGGCAGGAAACGTAGGCGTTTTAAGCGATGAAGCTGGGAGAGGCATGAAAGCATGTTGGCATCGGATATATTAATAGTGTCAAAGGACAGGTTTTCGAGAGTTGCTGCGCTTCGGGAAATGAAGGGGAGGGGTTCTGTTTGGCTGGCGAATGAACCCATGGCAAGACTGACGTTCTGAAATTCAAACGTGTGCAGTTTTGGTGCGTGGAGCGCATCGAAGAACTGTTGGGTGTAGAGCGTTTGACAGAAGAGGCGTACTTTCATTGATTCGAGGTTGGGAAGTGAGACAGGTACGATCGTATCTGGATCTGGGTCGAGTATTGTCATTCCTATTCCGATAGAGCAACATTTGAGATTGGGGCATTGACGGAGCACAATGAGGTAGTCGTTGTGAACGGCATTCCAATAGGGGCTGGCGTCGTACTGAAGGGACAACTCTGTCAGTTGGCTCCAAGGAACGCGGAACTTGGTGGTGTCAAGAGTACCCCACGCAATCGAGAGGCTGCGTAGGCTGGGTGCATCATGAAGAGATAATGGAGGTGGATTGTCGTTACTAGGAAGAGGGTTGCTGTTATGAAGCTCAAGACGCCGTAGGTGCGGAAGTGGACTTTGGGTGACTGTCAACAAGGAGCTAAGTGCCAACGGAGAAAATCTAAGACAAAGCTCTTCAACGCGGCATCCAAGAGTCAGGAGCTCCTTGTCAAGTGACATAAGAGCTGCCCACGTGATCGGAGAGTTGCTCGGGTGCTCGAGAGTTAGGGAAATTGGAAGAGCTTTCGTGCGCGATATCCACACGTGCATAGACATGATCCTTGACTGCATGACGTTGTCCCAGTTTGGCGTTACGGATGGAAAGCCAAGCTTGAGAGTCCTCCACAAACAAGGGAGAGAAAACATGAGCTCTCTCCAAGCGCTGCAGACTTGACACAATAACAAGGGAGCCCGAAGAGGATCGAGCTCCTGAAGTTCTTCGTCCCGAACACAGAAATCAAAGACCTTTGCCATTATCTCTATTGGCATACGGCGAACGGGAGACCGTAGCGCTTCTAGTTTCTGGACCATTTCCATGGTCCCAGATTGTTTAGCCTCGAGGCGCGAAACCTCTGCTCGGGCGCGATCTAATTCCTCCCTGATAAATGAGAGCTCCAGGCGCTGCTCAGCGAGGAGATGGCTAATCCGTTGTGTATCCATTGGAGAGGGAATACAGTTCGTCTGTAAAAGTCGTACGATAGACGTCTGCAGGGATGTCATTGAGCTAAGTTGATATGTATGTTTATGGTGCGGTGCCAGCACATACTGGTATTTTTAGATCCATACAGGGGATAGATAACCGAGATGTCTTTGAATCGTCGACTGACGCCATCGCAGTTCCGCTCCTTGAAGGATTCGCTGTTTGAGATCCGGGGAGGGAGAGAGAGAGAGGGAGATAAATGGAGAGAGAGAAAATAGACACACGAGGTTCATGGGTCATTTGCAACGCGGCGCAATTCGCCTCCATATTTACGTGTTTGTTCCTGTCATGGGATCATATCGAATGTCCTTACAATCAGCTCTTTGTCGCGCCCAAGGCTGTAGTTCATGCACATGACCAATGCTTGTGGTTTGCAGTGACGCCGGCTGACGCTTAGAGCAGCAGCAGCCTGGCAGTAATGTCTGACAGTTAGGAACACTTTGTCTAGAATCAGTTGAATCACATGAACACTGACAGACAGGTTCTGACAGTGACATTGTCTGTCTGTCAGTTCTAACAGACACCGACGCAGCCGTCAATCACTGGCAGTTTCAATGGTATCCGGCGGGTGCTATCAATACATTAGGGTTGCGGAGTAAATATTTGGTGCTGTTATTTCTGAAGGCTCTTGCCAAACAACTTAAAAATGCACTTTTAGCTCCACAACTTCTTCGCAATTGTTCCGCACTTGCACCAGGAAGAAACTTACAATATGAATCCCTTCTCCAACTTCACATGAAGCACGATGAGTCACCCCTCGACTGCTGTGCATCACTCGTTGTTTTCTACTCATATGTTGTAGGTGATGTTACTGAGGGCTCAACTGGTGCAATCAATCATGATGGTACTGAACGGGCTCATGATGTGCTGTAACTTGACAGGTACAGGACACAACTTTATCACTGTCAGGTCTATCAGTTGATACGTTCGACCTTGGATTGGAGCCAATGGCCGCCATACTTTGAATTCTAGTAAGCAGGGGTCCACAATTATAATGAGGGCTCGTGTACAAGGCATGTTTTGGAGCATTTTATCAGTCATTCTCATTTAGTGCCCAGTTATACCCCAGGTTCCCGGGCACTGTGTTCCCTTTTGCCGTTGTTCACCACGCAGCGACGCTTCATGTACATCTGATCAATGGGAACTCGAGCGCTTCATACTCTGGAAAAGTCTTTTACATGTGCTCGTACAGTAAAGTGTGAATCCTTTGCAGCTTTATACAACTATCTTCACGATTACTACATCAAAAAAGGTTTATAGTAATGCGCATCTTCTGCTGAGAAACATCTCATAAGATTGACAGCGTGAGAGCAGTTTCAAAAGAGCACTCACAGCTAACATCACAGATCAAAGGAGAGTGGCACAAAGTACTGCTTTCTATCGGCTCAAACGCTTCACTTTGTCGAAAACTAGGTGGCATGGTCAACAATCGCAACTTGGTAGTTCATATAGGTGAGACGGACCAGTTTCATACGCAACCTCCGTCATGTCCGTTCCTTGGATCTCAATGCCAATCCCGTCCAGAGACTTCCGCAGTGCGTCCTTCGAGGATGCGTGCACCATCTTTGCCCGAATCGGTGCGGTGTCTGGTGACCTGGAGTTGTGAGTTAAGCACAGAAACTAGTTGTATTGGTACCCTGATGTGACACATGGTCGGCCAAATGGACTACAGACTTACCAGGAGACGAAGCAGAGCTTGTTCCTCTGGGACCCATCTTCCAACTTATATTCAAAGTCGTAGACAGCCCATCGGCAGCCATCGGCAGGCAAGCTGTTCACAAACTCTTCGTAGTCAGGATTCTCCGAAGTCTTGTCGACGATGATTTGTGTCCGTTTATCGTTCAACTTGAACAATATGTACTTGAGCGATTTGCTCATCTTCAATTCTGTGAATGCTTGGAGGCATTCGGAAGCTGCTATCACTCCGGATGACTGTCCAGAGCCCATCAGGGTAAGGCTTGTCATTGCATGTGCGGCTCACCATGACGAATAAGATAATAAGTGAGAGAGATGCAGTATGTTGGAAACAATCGCGATCAAGATAAGTGCAACCGTTGTGATACTGCGGCAGTTGCCAGCTCCGACCTAACAAATCACATCACGTGACGCTGCGCCCGCGGGCCGCAGCGCAAGGAGCAGCGAAGTACTTCGAAAAATCACAGGGGGACATGCTTCTGCTAACAAAGTTGGCACTAGCTAGTGATTGATGCAGAGGATATGTATATTGACGGTCGAAGTTATCACATGTTCCACCATCATCCATGGGATTGACACCGAACCAAATGTTACTACGTATAGCAGATGCCACAGGATCCATCCACCGTCGAGCCCTGCTTAGACAGATTCCACTGCCAAGGCTTGATGCACTGAAACCACGTGGGCCTGTTGACAGTGGCATCAAGCAAGTGCAACCTTATTATGGCTGGCACGGGTGATGTGCTGCGGACGAATCAACCTATGAGAAGACTTTGAAACTTAAGTTCATGAAATCCCTCCTTAACTTTCTTTCTTGTTATCTAGACATACTTGATCATCATGACTGACCCGCAATCATCTGGATCGCAGCAGCAGTCAAGGTGGCAATCGTTCCATTATTTGGCGGTGTTATTTTTGAAGGCTCTTGTCAAACAAGGCCAAATTCTCGCTACCACGCTTCTACGCCTTGTGTGGCACAGGACGTACGCGTCACGTCTAATTCACCGCAACACTCAATTCTCATATATCACAAGGACATTAAACTTAGGCCACGTTGCTTGCAGTGAGGAAACCATGCCGTCATCCCCATCAGTGCCAGTAGAACTACCCAAACCGCCCAAACTGGATCTGGATGAGTTCGTTGCGACTGCCCTGTCAGCTACCCCAGCGGAACTCCATCCATTTTTTGAATCTTTCGGCAAACTCCACACGAGAAAGTAAGAGGGAAATTAACACAATAAACTCACTACTCACCAATCACGCAGACTATGGCATCAACTAACGCTCAAATTATATGAGTTTTTTGACCACCCGTTGTCGCGGCCCTTCCGTGTGGATGTGTTTGAGCGATTCGTGCGCGACTTTGAGCCCAAACTGAACCAACTTAAACTTGTGGAGATGGGGACTAAAGTGTCCAAGGAGATCGACAGTAGGTTTGACCCCCAATTCCCAAATGATCTGACCTGACAGTTCCATCAAGACCCACAAACACAGCTTTTGTTCCTCAACTCCATACTTTCACGGATCGATGCCGAATCATCACAGGAGGCATACGTGCTGCTGCTTGCAAACATTGCATATGCAAAGCTGGTGTACGGCGATTTAGAGGGTACCAAGACGGATATGGATACTGCCTGGAAAACACTCGATCGACTGGAAGGAGTTGACACTGCCGTCAATGCTTCGTATTACAAAGTAGCCGCTGACTACTATAAGGCGAGAATTTTCGAGAATGCTGCAGTTCACCTCGTTGACTTGCCGAAAACAGGCCAAAGCGGAATATGCGCCATATTATAAGCACTCTCTGCTGTATCTGGCATGTGTCGATGTAGCAACAGACCTTACTTCAGAAGAACGTTTGCTGCGCGCACACGACCTTGGCATTTCGGCATTCCTCGGCGACACTATCTATAATTTTGGGGAGCTGGTAAGCAGATACCGTGAATTTGAAACATCCACTTTCGTCGGTCACAGCCTGAGGATGATCGCTGACTGACTTCATCGGTATTAGTTGATGCACCCAATACTCGACGCGCTGGACAACACGAAGTATGATTGGATCAAGAAGCTGTTGTTCACATTCAACGAAGGCAACATTGGCAAATTCGAAGCACTGGCACCACTATTTCCGCAGGAGGTACGTGCATGTTGTCGCGGAGACCCGCACCGAGCCGAGCCGACCATCTGACAAATGAGCTCTGCCACAGCCGATTCTGGAAGAGAACTACCCCTTCCTTCGACAGAAGATATGTTTGATGGCGCTGATCGAATCAGTGTTCAAACGGAACGCGAATGACCGAACGATGTCTTTCCAGGCTATCGCCGAGGAGACGCTACTTCCAGTAGACGAAGTGGAACACCTCATCATGAAAGCACTGAGGTCAGTGCATTCTTGTTGAATTGAAACCAGGGCGTTGCATGTGCTGATAATCTAATTGTCATCGGTACTTGCCGCTAGCCTCAAGTTGATTCGAGGTTCCTTGGACCAGGTGGATCAAAAAGCGCGCATCACGTGGGTGCAACCTCGTGTTCTGTCGCGCGCACAAATAGGCGAGCTAGCGACGCGGCTTGGAGCGTGGATAGATAAGTTGGGGAGCGTGGAGCAGAGGATGGCCCCACATGTGTCTACGGCGGCATGAGTACGTTCACACTGTACGTAGAGATGGGCGCCGACTTTTTCCAAGGCGACTGTCCCCGGAGCAAGAATGATCGATTGTGACATGCTGCATTCATTGTATGAATTTTTAGAAGGACACGTTTGCGGTTCCGGATCAGATACGAAGGTTATAACGGTGGTTTGCGAGCACGTTGAGACACGATGCAGATTCTGAATGACATAGAGGGACTGATGAGGGTATGTTTGAGCCGTAGGGAAGGAGGGTTTAAGCCGTAGTAGGGGAAGAGGCACTGCTATCGAATGCAGGCTTCCTCATTTAGGGTGTGAAGTACTAACAGCATGCTGTCCAGTAACCTAAACTAGTCTCAAAGAATCTGTTAGGTCAAATCTGGGTGCTCATCCTCTCCGAGTTTCTTCTGTCCTCATTGCAATCCACGACTCAACGATTCGTAACTATCTGAGCAGGCTGTACGGTACAGTGACAACGCCTGTCCATCAACGTGTCCGGCGATACCCTCACGCGAGGTCTGCCTCCTGCAATTCATATCCGATTCTACTTCTCCCGGTTTTCATTATAACACTTCAAAAGATTATCATTTTTCATCCAGGTCTTGTCTCTGTCGAGCATCTGCAATGTCAGAATCAGCAGAATCGACTTGCAATCCTCCAACCGCTGTCACCTTTTCCTTTACTGCCCCCTTTCCCTCAGTATCCTCCTCCATTTCCTCAGCGTCATCCACTTCTTCTGCGCTAAAGCAAAGGCGCGTGTCGCTTGCGCTTCCATCTTCACCCAGGCTTGTACCAGCGTGGAATTTTCGTGACGACACCGGCCTCACTTCGCATGTTGCTGAAACCTCTGCTCCAATGCCAGAACGCAAAGGAAAGATGCGCAAGATCGCTGGTGATGGCGACTACCGCGAATCAGTTGGCTCTTTCATCATTCAGCAAAAGAAACCGCGCAAGAAATGGTCCGAAGAAGAGACCCAAATGCTCGTCGAGGGTTGTAACACGGTACATATGGCTATTAATTGATGTCTCACATATTAATCCTGTTCCCTCAGTGGGGCGTCGGCAATTGGAAGGCCATATTGAAAGATCCGAAACTCACATTCGACAACCGCTCACCTGTCGACCTCAAGGACCGGTTGGTACTCCTTAATTCCCGTCTCTTCATATTTATACCTGAACTTTGCCAGATTTCGCACTTATTTCCCTGATGCGTATAAGGAGCACTATCCCAATGCTAAGACCCATCTCTCCAGCAAAATACGGTCAACTCTCCCGGATGGACGCTCCATCTTTGAGAAAACGCGTAGTAAGAAGCGTCGTCCGTTTACCGAGGAAGAGGACCGCGCTCTCAAGGCTGGCTATGAGAAGCATGGTACCGTTTGGGCGACAATAGTCAAAGACCCTGTCTTCCAGGAGCAGAATCGACGCTCGACTGACCTCCGTGACCGTTTCCGCAACGCGTTCCCAGAGCTGTATCAAGCAGCGGGCTATAAGCCACGGAACGCGCCTAAAAAGCGGAGAGAGTGTGTCCAGCCACTTCCCATTCGCTCAGCAACTGATGATCAGTTGACTGCGCACAGCAGCCACATAGGCCCTGCCCGCAAGAAGCGCGTACAGTCCAGGCAGGGTATGTTCAGAGGTGGGACGAAGAGCGTCCCAGAGAGCACAACGTGCTCTGAAGATGACGATAGCTCAGGTGGCGAGGAGGAGGGTGGCACCAGGCTCTTCAGATGCCCGCCCATTGTGCACGACCCTTCTCAGCCCGATGAGACGTCTTCGCCAGACGGACTTGCAGAGATGGACATGGAGACGATAGACCCCTTGTCTGAGCCACTATCTATTCCCGACTTCATGCCTAGTGCATCGCAGTCTCTCTCAGAGCTCACGGACTCCTCTCAGTCACAGACTTGGTCCAGCATAGACACACCTCTTAACTCTGCGACGTGGTCTGCAACCGCGGCATCTCCTACATCATCACACATTTCATCCGATTATCTGCTTGGCCATTCTCTCTTTGATCGTCGCCTGAACACTATTGGCAAGTCGGCGTGGGGTCCGCAGGACTGGTTTTCTGCCAACCCCCGGCTCGATAGTTCTGCATTCTCCAGCAGCGGGTCATCTTTTGCGGACGGTTTGTCTCCAGCACCATCATCTCCGTTTTCCTTTCATAACCTCAACCACGGCGTCGTCGATCGCTACGACCTTTTTCCAAGTTCCTTTCCGAACGACTTCACCTCTGACGTCGGTGTTGGGGACTCGCATTCCACGTTTTCAGACCCTGAGATGTTCGCGCCGAGCAGTTTCAGAGGCTTCACACACCACTCCAACTACGCTGGTGACCTCATCTTCGGTGCACGGACACATCAACCCCAGCAGTCATACTACGGTCCCGGATTCGGGTTTGGTACACCCGGCCTTGGACTCTCAGGGATGCAGCAAGCTACCGGCCTACATCCGCTCCAGATCCACACCCCTGCTCTGCCAGGCATTGACGAGATCGAGCTGGCGTCGATCACACTCAATGATCAAGCGGAGATTTCGGGCGATACCGCTCAGACCACTAGTGAGATTGGAGTGCAGAAAGATGATTCAGAGGCGCCTTTGAACCTCTCTGCCCTGGAAATATATACCATGTCGCAGCAGAACATGGATGATATCGTCGACTTGACACATTCCACTCCCCCTGCAACACCCATCACCTCGACTCGCCCTCTACGGGGTCATCCCCACATGCATGCGTCCTCTCATCATGGCCGATCTATCTCAGTTCCCCCATCCGAACATCGGTATATGTCTACCCACCTGTCCCAAAGCCATGGAGCCTCGCAACCACAGATCACGAGCACCCGCTCCCTCCCTTTCTTCGACACTGTCCCGTTCACACATCCCTCTGATTTGGCATCTATGCATGCGCAGTCTTCGTCACCGTCAGGGGCTGACTTCTGGCGACCCACAAACCCTAATGATTTCCACGGCGTCCCCTACCTCGATTTGCACTACTTCAGCAGCCATGCCACTGACGGACATGATGTCAACCCCATGACCATTGACACTTCGCGTCAGGGACAAGCGTTAGACCTTGCTCGTTCACATCCTTCTCAGAAGTCGGCTCCTCCGGTGCCGTACTCCACAGTGTCTCAGGAACTTCAGACGGCGCAGGCGCTTCTGACAGGCACCATTGTACGTCAGCCACACACGATGCACCACCGCGGAACAAGCTTTGTCTCTCCGCAGGATCTGCATTTCCGCAAAGCGAGTGATAACAAGCGGAAGAGAGCGAGCTGGGATGGCGGGGTCTTCTAGCTCATTGATTATTTTGCTCTGATGTTTTCCTTCGTGGACTCGGAATTCTTCGTCGAGAGACATATACGTCTCTCTCTCCCTTCTTATCTCTTCGCTCCGTGATTCATCATCATAGCATTGCATGTCTCGATCGCATCGCATCGCATAATCTATGTTTAGCTCCAGTAGCAAGCATCATGTTTCCATACTTCTATGAAGTTTATGAATTTATGTAATTATACGATTGCTCATGGAAGCATGTGGAGGCTGGGAGGCTCAAAATGGGAGTCTCGAAGGCCCGGCTTCTGCGTTAAGCTGTGCATTCCGCCCTGGTGGTTCTACTTCCATCTCATCACTGGGTTCTTCTGGGGGAAGAAGGTACTGGATCTCCTCGAACATATGAGGGAACAGGATGGCCAGCATGTCGTTTACTCTAGCGCCGCGCACGTGGTAAGCATGTGGAAATAGCACATTGGGGTGAATCTTACTTGAAGATGAAGTCGCCTTTTTGTGCCTGCTTCTTCTTCCCTGAGGATTCGACGGTCTTCTTCCCGGCATCCATGGCGAAGGGTGTTAAGTTGATTGTTCCAGCGGAATTGTCTTTCGTATAGAGCGAGAGGCCTTGCCGAGCTGCTAGGTCGAGAATATTCTTCTCCACGGTATCTGTTGAAATGGCATCAATTCGAAAGGTGAAATGACGTCTAGGACTAGAAGGTACCCTCGGCGTAATAGCAGAAGACTAGAAGACAAGAAATTGAGAAGCAAGTAAATAGAACAGGTTGTTCGATGCACACCTTCTGTCGGCTTGTTCTGTCCCATACGATCGATTCGTGCAATAGCTGAGGGATCAGTGAGGTGGTTGTAGAGTTCAAAACTGAAAGCGAACCAACCTTGAACTTCGAAACCATGGTTGACCACGCTCTCGACGAGAAATACGCGTGAGGCACAAGTCACGTTCAAGCCAGCATTATCTCTCTCCCTAAAATGGTGTGAACACAAGGGATGAACAAGCATGCGCTACGAGCGTACCCATGTAGTAACAATACTTGTAAGGCAGGGTCTGTGCGGAATTTCTTAGCACCGCTGTCTTTGCCTTTGCCTTTTGCGTGGTCGAGTCTTAAGTATGAGATGCCTGCGAGTCCGTCAGAACGCTAGACAGGAAGCCGAGAAAAACTCTGACCATTGTAGGTGAGGGCATGTTCTATGACTGCGAAAGAAGTTGGTTCATTATGCAGATGAGTAAAACCTCAGAAAACTGACTCTGCAGTGAATCAGCCCACGCCGAGAATACAATGCTCTTTGCACCTGGGTCGGTGAACTGGATATACAACAAATGTCTGACCAGTGCCTGTATTTTGCTGCCGTAACTTCCATTTGATTCCATAGTCTGGATTTCCTCAAAGAGTGTAGGATCTAGTGGCGCGCATCAGACAAGCCACAGACCGAGTAATTAGACGTATCCTTACTTATCATGTTGTATTGGATTTCCCTTCGAGACACCGGGGCGGGCTCGTTGTTCACCATGACAGGTTTAGCAGGGGCAGGCTTGTCTGCTTTAACTGTGAAACGCTGCAATTGGTCTACATTGATAATGACACTAGAAACGCAGTTTGTCATGATGAATTGTTAACAGACAAGGTACGCACCGGCAAACTGGGCAAGCTCTTCCCTCCCTGCGAGTGACCCAAGCCTTCATGCATCCCTACGTGTGCGTCAGGAAAATTTGATGATGAGAAATATGACTGAACTTGCCTCACAGAAAATATGCGCGCTGTATACATATTAGATTGGCCGCACTCCTGAAACTCTAAAAAAAATAGTCGACCTACCATTGGGTAATGAATCCTCGCTTAAAGTCGCATCTACAAAGAATGCAAGCCTCGTCATCCTCGTCAGTGACGCCCTCTTCTTTATTTTTCGCTAGATGGTTCAGGTACCGCTGACGGGCGCGGGATGTATTGATTTTGCCTTCCAATTCCATGCGTTCGGCTGCGCATTCCTCCATAGCCAAAACAACGGTACCGTCCCACACTGCTTCTGTGACAGTATCAGAAATTTCCTGCAGTTGACGGAAATAACTGTGTATGTTTGAACTAGTGGTAGTGCGAACCAACGTCGATTGTGAACTTACAGGATACGTTCGTTGAAGATCTTCCGCAGTTGACTCAAGTCAGCATCAAGCTTATCCATGAGCGCCACTGCGTTCATAGTGAGTATGGCGCAGCTACAACATCACAGTGACAAACCTTGCTGCGCGATCAAGGTTCGTAATGAGTTTGCACCATCCTTGGCGATGAGCTTCTCGGGGTCCTTCTCAGATGCAATGCGGGCCGCTACAGCACTCAGATCGACCATGATAGATCGTAACGCTCTCCCAGAAAACTGGTCGTGGAGATCTTTACGCTGCTCTGTGAGGTCTCTGTGTAGGACTTCATGTTGAGGTTGAACTTCGACATCCTCAGGGATCTCGAAATCTTCATCCGGCATTGCCTGAGCAGCCGCTCTCGCGGCTGCTTTTGTTCGTCGTACTTTGTGTTCCCGTGCATCATGCGCAGCAAGGAGCGTTCGTTCGGCAGAAATCGCCTCTCTGCGGTCCGCAAGCAGTGCGGCATATGCCTGCATATATATCTCGGCTTCGCCCTGAGTATCCAATGTACGAGAGTATTCCTCCCCATCGGCCTGGTCATTATTTGCTGCTAATTTCTGAGTCAACAAAGCATAGATGCAGGTGCGCCACTCCCACAGCAAAGCGGTTTGTTCGTTCAATGCGAGCTCTATGATGTCATTGGCTTCGTCAAACTGCCCAGACCGGTGTCAGTATCGGCAAAAAGCGGAATAAGCTAACCCTGGGAAGGAGCTCACGAGATGCGTCGATTGTTTTCCGCCTTTATCAAGAAGAGGAAGTGGGATTTGTAAGGACTCCTCATTAACGCCCCGTCCAGTAGTGTCGGCACTCAGGACGCTCATTGCTTTGTTGGCACTCTCCTCCGTCGCTACATGCATGGTCAGTGAGAGTATAAGGCAAACTGATGAAAATGCGCACATTTCAGCAGGTCTTTTCGCAGGGTCTCAGCTGCAGCGTACGAGGCATCTTCCTTATCTGATTGCGATGCACCTAGAACATGATACACGTCCCCCTGCAAAAATTTGACACGGTGCAAAACCATCAGACACTCTCGTAACCGCTGTTGCAGGGCCCGCCGCTTGATACTGTGCTCTTCGCCTGCGGGAGTCTTGGGAAGACCTCGATCTTCAACATCATCAACGTCATCAACGTCCTCGTCTACATCAGTGAGAGGTGACATTTCTCGTTTTCCTTTGCCTTTGTTCATCCCCAAAAGGTCCGGAAGGTTCTTCTGACGAGATTCTCGGAGAGCTCGCGCTTCATTTTTCAGAACTTCTCCTTTGACTTGGTGTTCTGTTATGGTGGTCTTGATGTCGCCGATTATTTCGTTTGCTTCTTGCTCTGCAATTATAAGGTAGTCCAAAGCACGGTGGTATCGATCAAGGTTCAGATCGTTGTGTTGCTGGAGCTGGGCAAAGCGAACAAGGGCTTGAACCTGGAGGGGATGGATCAATTCTTGCAAGCTCGTATGATAAGAATGACAACGCTTGCCTTTGCTTTACGATCATCCATGAAGTTGCGCCAGTTTTGGTCTCTCATAGCCTGACATCTATGAGCCCAACAGATTATGACAGGGGAGAAAATACATGCCTCGAGAACGTCGCCGATGCTCTTGAGGGCACCAGGCTTAGCCAGCTTGTCCCCTGGCCGCTGCAATTGTCCGACTTGAGGATGAGTGCAGATACCACGAAGCTTTCTCAACACATTCCGCAGCAGAGTAGCATCAATCTGCCACCCTTCAGAAGCAGCAACTCCGCGCGCGTCCAAACCAAGATCAACTAACGCTGCCTCGAGATGGTGATCGTAAACCTTTGATACTGTCATAATTTGCCTCACAATGAGCATGTCATGACTTACGTGACGTTCAACCCTTCCCAATTCAATACTAACAAGGTATCTCCGCTGTTGCGGGATGGTTAATTCGTCCTTGACAGCAGACTTGAGTGTCCTAGTGTGTTCAGTAAGGACACGCAAGGCCTCGTCAGTTCACTCACCGGATAGCGTATCGTTGAAATAGGTCAGCGAACTGTTTCTTGAATGTGTGCTTCATCAGTCGATTCCACATGCGGGCCGGACCGACGACATCGTCGACACGTAAGAACCTGATCCAGCGGTATCAGCGCATAATCAGAAAACATCGGTCTATCTGACCTTAAAACACGAATGAGGTCAGAAACCTGAGTACGGGCCGGTGTTCCAGACACCGCAAACGACGACAGTCGAGGCACCAAAGACACCATCTCTCTGAAATTTACAATCATTCAGTATTTTAATCACCAATAGAACAAGGGATCTTACTCGGATTTGCCGGTCCCCATCATTTGCACTTCATCCATAATCACTCTATACCACTCGCACATGACAAGGGGGCTTCTAGGACGATCAAGGTTTGAGTACTCCACCTGTGCACGACGAGGACGTTTGGGTGGTGCGCGGGCAACAGTCAAGTCTTGACGGAGCACATTGTATGTCGTGATGCAAACATCAAATGTGTTCACATAGGAGCACCAATCAAGTATGTCATCATCCTCGACCACGGATGGTCTCTCTTCGATATCGATGTCCATGGCATCCTCGTCATCAAGCGCCTTCGCCTTCCCTTTTGCAGTCTTTTGAACCTTGGATCCATTTTTTCTAGATTTTTGCTTCTGGGATCTGCACCGCCGTTCTCGTTCGTCTTCGACATCATCCGGGGTGATGGGCACACCGACTTTCGACCAGCCATCATAGATGAGAACCTTGAGCCCTGGAGCATGAACAGCAAGCTCGTCTACCCATTGAGGCGCGAGTGCAGGGGGAGTGACAATGAGAGTAGTCTGATGCATATCTATATTAATTGGTCTTCCACATGACACACAGGTACACTACCTTGATCTCCTTCACTTCAAGCTTGGCTTCGGGATCCCATCGTTTGTTGATAGGACTACGCTCAGGCGCGGGGTTCAGTAGAATGAGAGAAATACATTCAATTGTCTTCCCGAGCCCTGCACTTCGTTAATATGATGCGAATGGGATGAATTGTAATACAAGGTACCTGGCTCCTCTGCAAGTATTCCCCCTAGTGCAGCGTTGTCTTCTGCCAGAGAAGGGCTTACGACGCCGACGAGCGTATTGAAGAAGTGCTCCCGCCCCCCGAGCGAGATCTTGGTCCAAAATGGAGGCATGAGAAACCGGGATTGGGGAGGAGTGTATGGCATGACACTGCCTTCCTGAGTCATCGTCTTCCCTTCGCGTAGGAGCATCCACTGGACACTGCGCCGTTGGAAGGGTAAGAGCACTGTCAACAAACCCTCAGGCTGGAGGGACTCGTATGTCACGCCTTGCGAAAGAGCGGGTGCCGGGCGAAGAATACCGTAAAAAAATGGGATACTTGCATCCCCTCTTGGATCATGTTCACTGTCGAATAGCGGATGGTCTACCGATGTTAGGGTAAAAAGAGCAATCAAGCGCCTCTGTAATCCTTCGAGTTCTGAAACGCGCTTTTGAGAAATCTTCTTGGTGTCAAATGGTTCATACAATCTGGGCACAATGACGGACACGTCGAACTGTGCGAATAGCCGGAAAGGTAACTCCTTTGCATGGTCGTAGCCACCTTCAGGAAGGATGATCACCTGAACGCTTGTCTCGATTTTTGCACGACCTAACGACTGGAAGGTAAAGAGTGCCTTGAGAAGATCATCATGCTTGGGGGAATGTTGCATATCATCCTCTTCCTCTTCGAGTACGTCTGGCCATGCAACTTGAGGGAGGAGGAAGAACCACCGCTCACTCCTTTCCTTGATTTCCTCAGGATAGGGGTTCATGGGGCAGTCCAGCTCGCCTGAAAGAGCTAACAAGCGCGTTTTGTAGTTCTGAACCCAGAACCTGCCAAGGTCGAATGTTTGAGGTTGAGAACGGTCAGGGCAGAGCGCGATAAGTAGAGATAGAAGATCATGTTCCTCCTTGAGCCACCCAAGTTTCTTCGCTGCTCGGTCGGGCACATAAGAGTTGTCGTCATCACCTTGGGTTGATTTCGTATAACGCATTTCGAAAGAGTATTTGAAGACCGGTAGAAACTGGCTTCCAGGATCAACTTTTATTTCCTCGCAACGACCTTCTTCCCATATGCAAGGGTATATTTGCTTGTATGCTGGGCCATGCCAGTCATCTTCGCGTCCATAGGAGTCGTCCGAGGATGGTTCCGACTGGTTGTCAGCATCTAATCCATCACCACCCTCGGCAACCTTCCGTCTCTTGCTTTTCACAGGAGAGGCAGAGGCAGAGCGTCGTCGCTTGTTCCCCACGTGTTGTTGCACTTCAACATAAGCTCCCCGTACGCCTCCATCGGCTTCAAGTGCTTCATCATGTATATCATAGTCTCCTTCGTCAACCTTCTCTTCCTTTGGAGGTTTCAAGAGAGCAATTAGCGTGTTCAAGTTGATTGCAGGGCGAAAGTTGTCAAAATCTGATGGTCTGAGCTGCTGCGAATCCCAGAAGTGCGAATTTTTGTGACGAGCAGACTCTGTATATTTTCCGCTGATAGTAAGGATATGCTCCATCTCAGAAAAATACCTGCATACGCAAGTCCGCAGAGGATGTTGGAGGTTAAAAATGATAGGCTACGGCGCGAGGTGCGCGTGATCATTAGACGGATTAATAAGAAACGCGGCCGTCACGTGATCTTAGGCTAGTCCTAAGTAAGTCCATCACACAGGTCAAACACAGGTTGTTGAAGTATTCGTAAGTGTTCGTAACTCACTCGCTCGAGCCAAGCGTTCGTCGTTTTACAGATGACCCTATATCGCAGTAGTTCACCAGCTGTTTGCTGATAGCTCTCATCTTTCGTGAAAGCCCTCGAAAGCCTCTCCAACAATAGTTTGCGGCTCGAACCATCATTGAACGGGAAAGCTTCACGTCCGCGTCGATACGCCTGGCGGCCTTGGCTGTTGACGTCCACTATCACCTTGCTTGCAAGGTCATATGATACAGCAGGAAATCTGACGGCTGTCTGATAGAGTAACCAAATATTTAGAATTAAATGACAACAAATAACCAAATAAAACACGTTTCAATCTTCAACCGCTACTATCTATCCATGGCTAATGAATTCGAAAACGCTCTGGAACAACTCAGTATGAAAGAGATTGTTGCTGCGACACAAAATATCAAATTACCATGGATTCAAAAACGGAAACGAAATGTTCTGTTGGATTCCATGCGAAGCTCAGAAGCAGCGCGTCCACTTATAATCGCAGCTAGTAAACAAAAGTTCGTTGACCCCGGTTTATCAAAAAATTGTACACTTCGTAGCGCACCTCCCGATCTCGATCAAGCTTTGGAGCAACTGACGATAAAAGAGATATTGGCCATAGCAGGTCCTGGAAAATTTTCTAGGTCTGACAGACGAAGAAGATCCACTTTGATCGCTGCAATTGTACGTTCTTCTACGTTGCAGAGTTTAATGATCTCTGCTTCAGAACAAAAATTGGAACGGATCAGAGAAGAAGAGGAAAAAGTTTTGAAAAGGACTTGCTTACAACATGACGAGCGATCAATCGAGGAGACTCAGTGTTTTGAAAAAGTGGATGAATCGGTACAAGAGCAATGCTTGACGAAATTTATTGATCGCATGGGAAATGCAGCGACTCAACAAGTTATCTGTGTCGCTTGCGCTGGAGAGTTTTTTGCGTCTGAAGCTACCGAAATTGCTCTACGGAATATTCGTCACAAAACCGTTCTTCGACCCAGCGAAATTCATCCGGAACAAAAACTGTTTGATGAAATGCTGTTGTATCATCAAGCCGTACAGGAAAAAGAAGATAGTCCGTACGGTCACCTTTGCGGATCTTGTCTCGACGATATCAATGCCAACAAAACACCTTTGCATTCCCTGGCCAATAATCTCTGGATCGGTGATATTCCTGACGAACTCGCGTTGCTTACCTTGCCTGAGCGGATACTTGTAGCTCTGTGCTATCCAGCGGCGTACATTGTCAAACTTTATCCAAAAAAACGCGGCGCAATTAACTGGAATGCTGCTGGACTTAACAGCGGTTTACGTGGCAACGTCTCAACCTATCGTCTTAATACATCAGCCGTTGCAGCGATGGTACAAGGCGATTTACTTCCTCCTAAACCAATCATTTTAGCCACCACGATCGGTGTTTCCATTGTTGGTGCCAACAATTTTCCAGAACGCTGTATGCCTTCATTCCTTACTGTCAGCCGCTGTCGTTTGCGTAATGCGCTGCTCTTCCTCAAAAAGCACAACCCTCTGTATTGTAATATCACGATTTCCGAAGAAAACATCGCGCTATTTCCTGAGCATGGTATTCCGGATCTCGTTCTGTCTTCAGTCAGGCACCTACCTGATATCGAAGTGGTTGACGCTGAACGGCAAGATTATGTACCAGATGACGATGTTGAAAATATATTTGACGGTGTGCATGTCTTTACTAATTTTTATTCATTATACTTACCAGAAACACATAATTCAGCTCAGAGTACCGCCTTTCCAACGGGATTTGATATCGAAGAAGAGATGGCTACTGATCATGCTGGTTAGTTTTTTGTAAAAATAATACCAGTTCACTGATGTTGAAATGAGTTTCGAAGCATCAAACGTCTTTCCTGTTCAGTCTTATGGAGTGTTGGACAGCAATGTGTCAGAAGTCGACGATAATCAAGTATTTGCGCATGCGCTGGCTAATATGTCAGAAAGATATACGGTGCAGCGTGGCAATACATTTGTCAATGAATACGCTCGCCGCCGTGATGATCAATCGCTGAGCATTGGAGATCCGGATAATCCTCATCATTTGCTTGGCGCGTTTCCTTATCTATTTCCATACGCAATGGGAGGATTCGAAGTCGAACGACCTAGATCGTTATCTTATGAAGCACACGCACAATGGACGATGCGATACGCTGATCGTCGATTTCGTAAAGACCTACTTTTTATGTTTCAGGTCTTTGGAGTAATTCAGAAACGACAAGTCTGTCGACAAGCTGTTCTACAGGTAAGTACACATAAATATGAAAATGAATTATATTTTTAAGGAATTGATAGGTCAAAAAACAAGATTTTCGCCGGTCTGAAGTCCAATTTCAACATCTTACAGTGGACGATTTACGCAAAGCGAGCGAAGAGGAACAGAAACGGATTCCTGTTTCAAATCCCACAGTACGCACACTGAAACGACACCTCACTGCAGTACGTTCAAAGGTCGTCGGCACTGACGAGTCTCGGACCAAGATACGGTCTCTCATCTGGGGAATGTGTATATTAAAGAATCCTCCTTCTCTGTGGATCACCATCAATCCCACAGACACACACGACCCTATTGCCCAAGTACTCACGGGTGCGGAAATAGATCTCGATGCTTTCGACCGACTGGCTGGACCTGATTCACAAACACGCTCTATGAGAATCGCCAGTGACCCATACGCTGCGGCGAATTTCTTTCGTTTTATTACTACGGCTATTTTGGAAGAACTTTTCGGTATCAAATGTGGACATCATATCGAGCGTCACACTGGCATTTTCGGTGTGGTTGAAGGATATATTGGAACGGTCGAGGCTCAAGGCCGAGGAACCCTGCACTTGCATATAGTACTTTGGCTGCGCAATGCTCCAACATCACTGGAAATGAAATCACTCTTAGCATCCGAGGAGGTCCGAAACAGAATTGTCGCATTCGTCGCACAAAACATTCGAGGCCACCATCCTGAGATCACCAAGGAAACAATGAAGACTCTTCCTCACCAAACTGCAGTATCGTATTCGCGTCCACCCGATCCAAGAGCACACGATTACACTAAAGACAAAACAAGCGCTGTTCGTAATCTTGTTCGTGCCGTTCAGATTCATACATGCTCCAGCAGTTGTTGGAAAGTTGTACATGGACGACTCATTTGTAAAAGACGCGCTCCTTTTCCCATAGCAGAAAACGCATGGGTCGATTCACAAGGAAACTGGGGACCTAGGAGATCGTTTGCGATGATGAACAACTGGAATCCAACCATTTTACTCGCTACGAGAGCAAACCACGATGTGAAGCTGATTACGAACGGTGAAGAAACAAAAGATATCGGATTCTACATCTCTATGTATACGGCAAAGAACCAACAACATTCTTCGAACGCATCGGCGTTGCTTGCAAAGACATTTGCATTTCATCAAGCACAAGAAAGACGAAATGCTGATGCTCAAGCTCTCAACAAACTCTTGATCCAACGCTGTGCTAATTCGCTCAGTCGCGAACAAGAATTTAGCGCTCCCGAAGTTGCTACTTATCTTATGAAGTGGGGTGATCGCTACATATCACACCACTTTGAAACCATATATTTTTCCTCCGTCATTAACTTGTTGAAAAAAACATGGCCTGAGCTTGCTTCTCAACGGTCAGTGATTTATTAGTTGTTTAAATACTTCGTAACTCATTATACAACAGACCAGTCGCTGAATTTTCGAGCGAAGGTCAATTTGAGATCCGAGAAGATACTACGCAAGCTTACGATGTGAGTCGAATGAATTACTACGCAACTACTAGTTTTAATTAACTTTGGCATGGGTGATAGACAGAATACAGTATCCTGCACTTCGAAGAAGAAACCCAATCTCTGCAGTTGCGCGATCAAATACGAGAATATATTGATCGTGGAGACGCTCTGGATCAGTTCAGTTATATCGACTACTTCCTCAATACATACGACGCACTTCTGTCCGATAACAATGAACCACTGTCATTTCGATGGAAAACAAACAGCCGAATTCCATATAAACCGCTATCTGGCCATGATAAACACTGCCGCATTCTACGCAGTTGCAATCACGAAACACTGCCATACTTCCCTGGACCGTGGCTACCTCGTCGTAATGATAAACAAACCTACCCGTTGTACTGCGCATCTATGCTAGCTCTTCTCAAGCCATGGAGATCACTGCTGGATCTTAAGCCACTCAACCTTACGTTTCCTGAGGCATTTCTTGCATTTACAGAAACTGCTTCATCACAGATCCTGAAAGTCATGGACAACATCCAATACTTTTACGAGTGTTCCGATAAGGCACGAGAAAACCGAATCACCAAAGCATTTGGTACCGCTTGGAGTGCAGCTTCTGAGTCCCACGACGAAGAGGTAGAAAGTGATGATGAAGAATCGTCAGATTTGACACCTATAGATGACGACGTTGCACAACGGAACATAACCGAAGAAGATATTGAAAACGCGATGCAAAACCGTTATGAAACTCGCGAATTGCTTTATGCCGATGTCGCCATGAATATCGCTGAAGATTTTAAGATCTTTGATGAAGAACCTGTGGCTATTGCTCCGTGTCAACCGAGTCAAATTGCGAGTGAAGAAGTTGTTCAAAAGTATACCGTTTGGCAAGAAACCGAGGAACATGCAGACACCGCGCAAAATCAAGATCAACAGTTAGGTCGTATTCAAACTGGATCAAATATCGTCTCCATCCTACCAACACCACCGACGGTATCAATACAATCACAGACCTACACTGAACAAGGATCAGGATCGGACCTTAACAGAGAACAGCGCATTGCCCACACCATTATTCGCAACCATTTGCTTGCTCATATCTCGGAACAACACCGCCCGCAATTGTTGATGTTAGTAACTGGTGCAGGCGGTACAGGCAAATCGAAGCTATTGGATGCTATAACGGAGACTTTTGCTCAGCATCACTGTGAATCAATTCTCGCACGTACTGCAATGTCAGGCGTTGCAGCTTGCATCATTAAAGGCTCAACCCTACATTCCTGGGCAGGACTTCCACCTCGTCAGATGCCTCGCACCGACAAATGGGTTACACATCCACGACCCGAGATGACGCGGCGTAGACATGCCAACATGGATAACAACATGTTACTCGCAGTAGATGAAGGAAGTATGTTGACCGCAGAACAACTGACATTGTTGTCGCAGGTAAATATACTAGTCATGCAAAGACGTCAAATTGCACACAATTAACTAGTGATTCAGGTTTTAGATACCGTCCACGCAGGGGATGAAATCGACTCTGCAATACCTTTTGGTGGAACGAACATTCTACTCATCGCCGATTTTCATCAGTTTCCACCTATTGGTAATGTCAAAAAAGCTCTATTCGCACATCATCCTCCAAATCAAAGATGCGAAATCGGACATCATCTATTCGAACAGTTCCACACTGTTATACGTCTTCATCAGCAAATGCGTGTACAAGACACAGTATGGAACGACATACTGCACCGTGCTCGTGAAGGAAATTGCACTGCAGAGGACCTACGAGAGATTCGGAACTTGGTCATCACTAATCAAACAAGCGATGTTCCGGATTTCAACTTACCTCCCTGGAATGATGCGGTGTTGATCACGCCTCGCAACAGCGTTCGCAATCGGTGGAACACCTTATCCGTTATAAAACACTGCAAGTTCAGTGGATCGTTGTTATACATTGCTCCGGCAGAAGATATTGCAAAAGGCTCACCGTTATCGATGAAACAACGTCTGGCAACTGCCAAGCTTTCACTCGACGACACACAACATCTACCCATTCAAGTCCAAATCTCTATAGGCATGAAAGTAATGATCACAGAAAATATCGCGACTGGTGCGAGTCTCGCAAATGGCTCAAGAGGCGTCATCGTCGAAATCCTACTGGATCCTCGAGAGCAAACTGATCAGCACATCGTCAAGGATAACAAAGTCTACCTGCAGTACCCTCCAGCGATAGTCATCGTCCGTCTCGACTTCACAAACTCGCCTCCATTATTAGGACTCAAAAAAGGCGAAGTTCCTGTAATACCCTCCGTCCATCAGTTCAAAATATATGCAAAACCTAGCTGTACAGTCACTCGACATCAACTGCCATTAACACCAGCATACGCATTCACCGACATTAAATCGCAGGGACAAACTATAGATTATGTCATTGTCGACATAGGAAAAACCACTTCTTTCGGTTTAAATCCTATCAATGCTTATGTCGCCCTATCAAGGAGCAGAGGACGACATAGTATTCGCTTACTGCGCGACTTTGAAAATGACCTGTTTACGCAACATCCTTCACAAGATTTAAAGGATGAAGATCTGCGCTTAGACGCATTGGCTCGATTAACAGAGGAAAGGTACTTTAAAGGAGAATACGGTCCAATAGAATAAGGTGAGCGAATATTGCATAATTGTTAAAAAAAAAAAGCTAAACTTGACAGACCACAAAGAAGTAAGACGCTGTTCCTATCGTGCTAGGCGAAAGAAAGAAACCGGAGTTCCAGACACTGAACTCAGGGGTGGACGATACATCTTTGTTTGAAACCTATTGATCTGTTATAGTTTTGAGTTAGATTTACACTGCGCATGTACTGACCGTGCTCATCAATGATCAGAACCCATAACATGAATATGAGTAGATCCACGACCCTGCTCTTCTACACTTATTTCTGAGATCCCGATTAGATACGTCAACCGTGTAATATGTATTAATAATGTAACATACCACTGTTGGGGACCGTAACCAAATTCGAAGAAGCAGATATAACTTCGTTTAAATGCGTAGAAGTTGACATTATGAATGGTTAGATTGTAACGATTCAAGCTTAGAATTGAAACACCTTTCTTTTACTTTTACTATTTATTGTTATGTACTTGGTAATATTTGGTTACTCTATTTCACAGCCGTTAAATCTTGTTCACTTCTTACTTCCCATCCTTATCAAACATAGAAAATGCGCGAGTCTATCCACTGAGGCTGAGAAGGAATCTTCAACCTCACGGAAAACGAGATGTCAGCGAGCGAGGAACTAAGCCATTGGGACATCCTTTCTGATTTTGCCATGTTCTATCACGCGAATTAAATGCTATGATAGGTGTCGCATAATGTACATCATGGGCATTCTGTTGCGAATGTCAGGTGTCTGTTAGGATATGGTAATGCAAAGCACTGGTATCTCTTCAATGTAATTTAGAATTGGCAGAAGGATAAGACATACCTCGATATGAGGAAATTTGCGGCGAGTTGATCCTGTTTCGTCATGTTCACTATAACGTTTGGTACATGTCGTGTTTGCTTGACGACTAGAATACTTCCATGGAATGTCTCTTTGCTCCCAGTCATACTCGACATTCTGGAAAGGAGTTGGTTCAAAGCGATGGAATGTCCTGATCTTTCAAAATATAAAGTAAATTTTCCATCGATAGTCATGTTAGAGCCAGGAATAGTGACAAAGGTCCTGCGTAAATGTCGTCGAGTGGTTGTACACTCATAGAGCTCGTGCTGTTTTACCCAGTAATTGATATCGAGGTCGTCGAGTGTAGGAGGCTTATCGATACCGTCTTTTACTGGAATTGGTACAAGAAAAGGTCGGTGGCATTGTGCGCCATAAAATATTCCTTTAATTAGTTGAAGGAAAGGCTGCTAATGATTTTAGCTACGTATTAGCGGACTGATTCCTGCTTACTGGTTTGCGATACCGTATTTGTCTGGGTATCCATTTTACATCATCACCTGTGTAGACTTTTCAGCATGCGTATTTCATCTGATTCAAGCAGAAACTTACGGTTACTAGCACCAGCACATTCACAGTTTTGTGACATCTCCGTAAAACAGCGAGGGCATTCGCTATTTGTACACTCTCTGTTCAATCGCCATTCGACATTGATGTCATGGAAAACTTTGGTGACTGAATCTTCTACATTCCAATCAACGCACAAACGCCAACGTTTTTCTTCGACGTGGTGCCAAAATGTGGGACATAAATCATTGCAGGTCCTGTTGAGGAACGACATGTCTTTCTCCATCTCAAATTCGTCCGTTATTTCTCCAGCGCATCCCAATTTCTTGTCATTTGGGACTAAATTTCCACTGTGGCTTTCAATAGCAATTCCTGCGTGATAAAAATTTGGGTAGAAGTAACAAAGTCCTCCGGTAGTCATGAATAGCATGTCGGCTGTTGTTGGGGCATTAAGAATGATGTGGAGAATATTCTGGTCTTTATGGGATGCGGATAGGGTGATGATTCGGTGTTTTGATTTGTATTTGCGAAATATGCCAATCGAGGCTGCAATGGCAGGATGCGCTACTCTTGAAATGGACGTAAATCCGAGCGTGTGTTCGATGGTTTCGTGTAAGTTGTCAAAACCTGTATACGGGACGAGAATGTTCAGGTCCCGTGAGGCACTGCTATTGTTATATCCCATCATCGCTCGTACGGATGATCCAGTTATAAGACCATTACCATGCCGTAGAGCTGAGAGGAAACTCGGCAAATGATTGCCCGCAAAAGGTTCCAATATATGCCTAAATCTTCGGCGTATAACCTCTTGGCCTAATTCTCGCATGATTTGACAAGTACGGCTAATTGCAGTGAGGTCTGTTATCACGAGCAGGTCCAATATCATTGCGGCTATGTCTCGGTACTCGGTAACTGTGCTATGGATCAGTGCATGTCATGTTGCGCTATAAATTTCTTACTTTTCATTGTAGACGGAGGTTTCATATGGCTGACGTGTACAGAAAACATTTCTGGACAATGTCAGCAAACATATGTCATTATGAGTTTAGGGGCTGTAACTCTGCTAGAAAACAACTTGCAGACAACCATGATCTTCGACTTTGCTGAGCATCACAAAAATTTAAAACAGAACCCTAACTACTCCATTTCTTCTCAGATATTGCAGAAATGTGAATGGACCATCGGAGGAACTGGCCACGTCTTCACGGATAAAAACACAGACCAGCCCTTTATTGGAATTGCTGTTGTACAAATCCTTGACTTCAGGCTGCAATGCAGTCCGACAGGCAGCTTTGTAAAGCCGGAATATGGTACCTTGGATAAAGCAAAGTACCAGTTCATGGGCGGAAGACCCCACAATGCCAATGGGTTTAATGAGGACTTTGCGCGACTTCATACACTTCTCAACAATATCGAGAACCTCATAGCCCAGACTCAGCGCAAAAAGGATATGCTACCAGACAAACAAAGTATCAGATTTGCTCGAAACATATTTGAAAAAAGGGTAAGTGTTTTGCAATTGCGTTCTCGTGTATTGCTTAACGCCAAATAGGACATTCCTGTTCCTGATTCACCTACTGCGAGCAGAAAAACTGTTTATCTTGAGGATATCGAGAATGATACTGGTCCATTGCAATCTACTGGTAGCAAGTCGAAGGAGAAGTTAGAAATGGACAAGGAAACCGCCAATTGGCCAGTAGACGATGAATATTGTCAATATCTTGACCCTATCAAAGCCCACTTCAAAGCAGTGCCTCTCCGGGTCTATGACGAAGAAAACCATTTCGTGGAGCCTGAAAACGTTAATAACGTGCTGCGAAACGCAGTTGTGGAGGTCCACTTCACTCTCCATCATACATATCTTGCTAAATCATCGCCTCCACAAGATTCTTTCCGTGCCAACATCGAGCAAATGATGATATTAAAAAGAGGTAAACCTATAGCAGCCATATACACATCAGATCCTAGGTCAGGTCCTGTTAGGACCGCGATTCATCATACTCCTCCTCCCGCCGAAGAACCGACTGCCAAGAAACTGCATGTCGACGAAGCTGCCGAAAAAAAAGGGAAGGAGAAAGCAACAGATATCTAAAAATCAAGTCTCTGATCCTAGTTTTACGTGTCTGTAAAGCTCTTTTGTACTCATTGAAATGTCACATAGCTTGAGCAGTACATAGCGAATCGATGAATTCAAGGCAACGTATCGACTCCTAAACTAATCATTGAAGAGACAAATTCGGAACAACTCGGAACAAGCAAGGTGAAAGTCGGCGACACCGACCCCTAGTTAAAAGTGGGGAGGCGCAGCGCCACCAAACAAAGTGTGATATTATGTAATCAAGTATCGGCGAAATATGTGGTCAATAAACTACGACGCGGTGTAGACATGTAACCAAACACCTACACGACAAGAATTAAGGTCGCCGAGCCATCAGCAAGAACTATAGATGAGGTGGATTATACGAGCCTATCAAATTTTAAGAGGAGTGGCCGTCTACAAGTCATTTTCTTCGTCGGAGTCCCCTAAGAGAGCCCCAACATTGGTGGTGTCATGTCCCTCAATTTCCTGTATCGTCGCAGCCTCGTCAGTGTTGGGTCCTACTTCCCCACTAGAAAGCCGCTCTGCTGCAGCTGCCAGAATGGCCCTTTTCTCCGGTGCTTTCTTGCCTTTGAGGTCCTTCGCTGCAGGCATTTGTGAGTCGAATTGGCGATGCCAGCGGATCTGCAGGTCCAGCTCAGCGACGCGCATCTTGTTGATGTCCTCCTGTGTAAGACGAGGCACAACGGCAGCAAGTTTCGCAGCCGCAGCCTCACGACATTCCTTTTTCTTTTGATCTTTCTCGCGGTTCCACTGGACTACGTGTTTGTCATACTCTACCTGTGCAATCCTTCGTTTCCTCTCCATCCCTGCAGTATCGTTGATGCGGGCCCTCTTCCGCAAGTATTTTCGTGCAGTTGGGCCCAGAGAAGTCTTCACGTAAGTCCCAGCGGCTGTGATTACTCCTTCGGTTGTCTGCCATAACAGGGCTATGACATCATCAGGGGGTAGAGCGGCCAGTGCACGCTCGCCACGCACTTCTCTCTCACAAGTCCGTTTCCAATCGGAGAAGAGGCGGATGAGTTTCTTCTGGTCCTCTGCATGATCCGTCAACATTCCCTTCACCTTGCTGACAACCTCCCTCGGGTCCGCTACAGCTTTCTCGCCAGCCATGCATGTATTGTACGTGTCACACATCTCATGTAGCACATCCTTCCAGCCTTGCAGCTGCGTTTCGCTGGTATGATTGACTTCATGCTGGATTCCCGCAAAGCGCGTGACTCCCTTGCCATCATGGGAGGTATACGTGATGTGGTGTGATTGGTAGTTGACGTTTTTGTGACTCGTGCCATCACCACTCAACGTAACGCCTTGATACTTATATTAATTGAATTGTCTTTGATACCGCATCAATTAGTACGCACCATCTACTTCCATCATTTCATCTACCATCTGCACATTTGCTGCAACGTCTGCCTCCTGCAGCACACGGCCAATGCTGCGAGTACTAACATCTCCTTCAACAGCAATACCGAGGCAATCTGCGATGACACCAAAGACACCTCGAACACTCGATACTGGTACGTCGTGTGTTGCTACGAGCTCGCAGATTGTGTCGCGGACAGTATCAGTGATTATATTCTTGTTTTTCAGGGCAAATGTTGTATGTTTTGTGGTTTGTGCTATAGTGCGAGCAGTGGCCTTCTTGACAGCGTGTGCTTTCTGGAGAGGTGCGCGAGAAACACGCATACCAAGAGCATGGTTACGTTTGGTGAGGATTTCATTGCGCTCTCGCAAGTGTTTGGCCTCACTCTTTGCAGCTGCGAGTGACGTCTGTGCAGCTGTGAGTGACTGTTGATCTGCCCGAGCCTGCGAGGCAGCCCCGACAACAGCTGATTGTGCTTCTTGTAAGCTTGCCTCCAGCCTTTCAACACGACTCCTGGTCCGCTTGTGGCATCGGCGCTCATTTCTGTAGCGGACGTGAAAATTCTTCGATGTTGGGAGGATTGCATCAGGTAGGGTTAATTCTGCGGACAAAACTGTAGCTGCAGGAGGGATGTTTTCCTTCAGGAGACCTTTTGTGTGAGTGCTCTGAGCTTTCATGCGTGATGTGACTTGCTGTTGAGCTATTGTCCGTTTTCTGGAAGGTTTCCAACGGTCATGCTTTGTGTATCGTGCTGGCATTTGGGTCTGCAGCATCAGGGAATCGGCGAGGAAAAGCTTTTTATAGATATAAATGGCAAACTTAGATCACATGTCCGCTGGATTATATCTATTTACAGAGAGATACATAATCACAACATAATGGCATGGAAGGACAAGAAGATACAGGACAAAACCAATTTTGATGAAGATGCATATGTCTTATGGCTGTCTACAATGCTAACCAGGCGCACATCGAGGATTGTAAAATGTATGTAATATTGGCACCCGATGGTCGTTATTCATAGTGGTGATGAAGATGCATAAGTCTTATGGCTGTTTGCAATGCCAACCAGGCGCACATCGGCGATTGTAAAATGTATGTAATATTGGCACACAATGGTCGTTATTCATAGTGGTGATGTATCCAAGACAATGTCATTATCAAATAGGGGGTGTGTATAAACATGATTGGATTACTAGCAGGACGGGGAAAGACTGCATTCGTTGGCTACCCCCTCGGAACTAGAATAAGAAGGGCAGCTCGTGCCGGATGTATGAGTCCTACATATGCGATACCTTATAGAAAACCCTCCAAAATAATTGCTAGTTACTGAGGCCGTGCCCTAGACAAGCCGGGACCGTAACTTGCAATCACCAATACAAGCAAGAAGCCTATCACCACGCCGAGCGTCGTAAAGCATGCAACCACCAAGGGTGTGGAAGGCTGGAAGTCAGCAATGACACCTGCGAGAAATCCAAGGATCGAGCTTATTACACTAGTAGAAATTCTATGAGTGACAGAGGCAATCATAATCAAAGTTGACTGACCTTAATACACAGAAGCACGTCGGTATACTTGTAATGACGACCAACATCATCGTCTTCTTTTGTAGGTAATATACCTGTTCAGTAAGCAAGGTCAGGCACAGGCTGCGGCAATATAGTATGAATCAAACCGCGACGTCAATGGATCTCATTCTCTCGCCAAAGTGCTGCACCATTGTAGCGGCGAAAATGCAGCCAACGCCCAAAAGTAAGGAGCAGGAGCAAAGCGTCCGTGAGGTTACTGTTGTGCCTAGACCTGGAATGGCAAAGATGGCGACGTCCATGGCCACGGAGACGCCTGCCTGTCAGAACCGATGAGTTACGAAGATTTGTGATGTTGACACAGCACTTACCAAGGTGATCTGACTCTTAGCTTGGCTGCTGAAATCGTCGATAAAGGTCCTGACGTCCACCCCATTCACAATACCATCAACGGAAGTGTTCCTGATGCGGTCGATTGTGATCGGCATACACAGTATAGTAGCCGCAGTATTGCCCATGAAGTAGAGAGCTTTACATGTCCTACATTTCTCTACCACTGCATGGCCTCGAATTAGGCGGGCTTCGGGCTGGTTGTGGCGGTTCAGATACTGGTAGTGGCCTATATTGCGTGTTGACACAATGACATTCGATTTGTGAAGGAGAGACCTACGTAGCATGTACAGTATTCTACCTGTGAGTCGGCAGATTAGTATACAAATTGTCCGGTTTTGCTGGGCTCACATACAACAAAGCACGACACCAGTATCCTCAATGATTTCGTTTTCTGCAAGGGCTTCTGTTCCTCGGTCATCACGATGTTATGGCGGACAAGACTTGGGCACATACCGACACTAGCAAGTTGCGCGTCAACCTGTCTCATTTGGTCTAGAGTCCAGAAAATCGTAGCTGCAGTAGATTGGGCCAAAGTTGTAGCTTCTATTGTACGTTCATGTGATTCTGATTGTCGTTGCAGTAATATAGGGCTTACCTCCAAGGTAACAAAGAATTTCTCTGCGTGTGCATCTAACTTGGGAGCTCGTCATGCGGAACATGTGCGGAAAAAATTCAACGTGTCTCCTGTGAAGCAGTGAAACATAAAAATAAGTGAAACGATATTCGTCGACCAAACTCACCAATACTGAGCTTCTAGTTCGAGCCCTGTATAACACGATCGAGAAAAAGATCAAGTAATTGCATGGCAACGCACTCTTATGCCTCCACTCGCTTGCCTTGATACATTCTCGGAGAAGAAGGTAGCCGTCCAGATCATCGAGCCAGGTGATGATGCGCAGGTTGTGGACCACATAGTAGTATTGGTATACGTCTTCTCCTCTGTAGCTCATTTGGTGAACAACCAATACCCAATCGTCTTCTTTCGCCGCGGCTCTTGATACATCGATAAATTCTTCGAGCCTTTGTCGATCCATGTGGCGTATATTTAGTGACGTATATGTGTTCTAAATTTCAGGTAAGTAAATACATCGCTTATACAAACGGCCAGTGCTCACCTTTTTATTGTGATAGTAATAAGTCCCCCCCAAGGGGTGTACCAACTCCTCCCAAACACTCCCATACAATCCGGGCCTGTTAAAAACGGTCAATGATATCATTAATGGGAGCGAATGTCACTTACGGAGGGTCATCGATTCGCCTCATAGGGATCGAGTAATCTTCACGTCCATTCGTTCTATATAACGAAAATGATGTTTGACTCAAATTTTATGTATCAGTACTAGATCCGTACTCACAACATTACCGGTTCAGCGTACCGAGGCAGTTGCGTCGGCCAGATTCCAAAACTACGGTCCAGCAGCTCCGCTACGCGCTGTTGAGAGCCTTGAGTTGCCTAGAACAAGACAACATCCTGAGACTTGAGGACTGTACAGTGTCAGAAGGTGCGATATCGGAACGTACCATGGCTTCCAACTTGCAAACAATAATAATCGCTTGTTGAGAGTACTACTAGTACGTGAGAACCACAAACGCATATATGGTAACCTGTTGTTGTTATTTCCTTTTTGGAGCCGCATCCTTGATTATCGATTATCTGATCATCTGATGCATCTGAAAGCAACGTCCCTCCAAGTCATTTGGTGGGTTGGTTGAAGTTTCCTTGTCGCGTTTTGTTTCTTTTATTTATATTGTTCGTCAAGCACACCTCGTATGATGAAAACAAGTTGTTGCAGCTAAATTAAATACCGAAAATATGCAGTGATCTATAAAGCGCTCAAACTTTCATGCTCCTGGAACACCATATTTTGAAATGTCGCCTTCCAATCTCATATATCCCCGCGCCCTATCGTCAAAATTGTGGCCCTGTGTCCAGACGAAGGTGCGAATAGTCTAGTAGCGACGCGGCGCACGCAGTCAGGAGTCACCTTATTTATCATAGGTCGTAGTCATTTCGGTCACAGGAGTCTTTCGACTGTGGACAGGCAACTAAATTATCACGTGAGTATGCGGGCATGTTTATGATAAAAGTTTGTCGTACCTTCCGGCAAAGATCCTTCACCTTCACCTCCACCGCCCGACTCTCGAGAGCCATCACCAGGCTCGATTTGAGCTGATTCTTGACACGCTCAAGTTCAACTTTGGAGATAGATTAGTACATAAGCAGGCTAAACTGATTGGTTAGGTGGGGTAGCATTTGTGCAGGAGTGTTGCCTCTTTGGCCGGGAGCATTGGGGACGAAACGCCTAAGAGCGAGGAATCCGTGTAAATGAGATGGAAGGAAGCAGTGGCCCGCCTATGTCTGATGAATATTGCGCACCAGAAGAAATATTAGCAGACGGTCTCGTATGCTGAGTGTCCGTGTCAGTCTGGAATCCACCTTGTGGTCCGGCAGATGGCCTTGCATGCGGAGCGTCCGTGTTAGTTTGGAATCCATCCTGTGGTCTTCCTGGTTATTTGCAGCTGTGATCTTCAGCGCCTCGATAGCGGCAGCTGTGCCTATATCATCATTCGCCATCGGTTTATCGTCATGACCAGAACTATAAGAAGCGCCATTTGATTCAGCCCAGCCGCCTTCATTAGAAAGAACTTACCCATAAGCCTGAGCATGAGCAGAGAAATGAGACTTGTACACCTCTTCGTCGAACTCGCTCGGTGGCTGAGGCTGGTAGCGTGGTAGGTTAAAGGATTCACCATGAGCAGCTGCGTGATCGGGAGTGTACGAATGTGACTGCTGATTGACCTTCTTCGCCATTAATCAGGAAGAAGCGATACTTGGCAGTCTATGCATACCTGGCGGAGGCCGATTGTAATAATCACTTGCAGCGCCGTGACCCGACCCTCCTTGAGGAGAAGGGTCGTGTCCATATGAAGGTCTAGCTTGAGGGGGAGCCCCAGGAGGTGGTGTAACCTCCCGCTGGCGCATAACTGGATGATGCCCCAGGAGGGCGACCAGCAGGGGATGCGTACACGTTGCCTCCATGACGTGGCTCCAGCGATTCCGGGACAGAAAAGTAGTCGCGAGAAGGCTGAGAATACGCAGCCGCTTTCATAGCCAGATGTGCGTTGTTCGTGGGGGATGGGTGGTGGGGGTGGTTCAGGGAATCACAGTCCAGATGGCTCGGACTGTTGCAGGTATGATGGCTGGTAACCAGCGTCCTGAGGTGGTCTAGTGGCATCATCCATCATCAGCTCACACGCAACCGTCATACAGATCAGATAAACTCACCTCGGTCGATCCCATTCTCCATAGTCCTCAGGGCCGATACTGACTCAGGATGTGTGTAAAGTCGGGAGTACATTCCCTTACTAGGACCACATGCAAGAAGTTGAATAAAACGTGTGGCGAAGGAAATGATTACTCACCAGCTGAGAAACTTCTACCTCCTCCAAGGAGGACTTACATAGTGGCGAGGGTAAATACATCCTCGTCATCAACACCTACACCCTCAAAAGCTAGGTAGAGCTGAGCGAACTCTGTCGATGCCACCAACGTAGTTGGACTGAGGGTTCAGTGGAGGAAGCGGTGGCTCGGTAGAAAGGGACGTACGGTACAGATATGTTGATGCAGCACAAGTTAATGACTTGTAGAGCGAGGGTGATGATGAGGACGACGAGGGAAGCAAGCGAGGTGGTAGATTTTGAGTGGCTGACGGCTGAAGTGATGAAACTGATGGTGTTAGCGCAGATTTGAGGGATTAGAAATATTTATCAGCCAACTCCACTGGTCGTTCGCAATGCATCCCAGCACCAGCATCCCAGAATTCCGAAGTATTTTCCTACCGTATGCAACCTCATGCAAGACCTCTGGCAGAATCATCTCGGGTTTCTGACTAATTTCTCGGATCTCATAACGAGCGGTATCTCTCCGGGCATCAAGTCCATCAGGTAGAAATGCGGAATTCAAGATGATGTCTGATACGAGCGAAAGTGGGAGAGTGGATAGCTTGGTCGAAGTTGGACGATTGATACACGATGGATTCGCGTGACGAAGAGCACATGATTTGGTCACCTAGCTTGTCCATTGTGGTCGCCTTATCCATATCTTCCGTGGAGCAAAAGCTGGTGGTCTGAGCAATAGAGAGCTGTGAACACTGGCATGAATAGTGCCTGAAGCTACGCACCTTAAAGGCCATCCTGTCCGGAAAATGGCTAACACTCGAGTGGATCGGGCTTCATACCTGGATCCCGCGTCTACGTGTAGTTCAACGGACCGAAAATGACCGGGAGTCGATTCCGTAGCAACTCTAATCCTGTGTGAATAAAAAATGAGTGATCTGTGAAGCGCGGGCAATAAGCATCAGATCATATAGATCAGTGTCATCATAGGCACGCGGTCGTTGCACATCTTGATTCTGTTCGAGACGCGTCGAGCAGGCGGTGCGCTGGGCACGATGATCAATTTCAAAAGGAACGAGCAACAGGAGATGAGAAAAATTACACCTAGCTACCCTGAAATGCCTAAAAAGCAATAAGATTAGGTGCACAACAAGTGCACAATCATTGTCGCAGACACAGTACATGCAACAAGTCACGAACAAAATCCTTGCGATCAACCAAGTTGATATGAATGAGCGCACGCAAGCTCTGCATATTGGTCTCGAGCAAAGGTTCAAAATTTTGATGATGGCAAGAGTCAAGACTAGTACTTTGTAAGCCACTTTGTCAGCAATTACTAACACCAACAACGGTTACACCTTTTAATGGAGTTCCAGGAACCCATTGCAGATCAAATATTCTGATGGGCATATTCGAGCGTCGGAAGTTCAGATCTCAGACCGTAATCATTGAATTCGAGTCTGATCAATAAAAATTAAAGAAGCTACTCAATGGTATACGTATACAAGGTCGGCAGTACATACAAGCATATATAGATAATATATGCACCTGATTACCAGTACAATTCGAACGGCGGCAGATGTAAGTGAAACAGATTATATTACACTCGACCGTACGCAGCAGCATGGCAACCTACATCGAGGCTGAGACAAACGCAAGGCTATTACCATAAGTCGAGTCAGTACGATCGTTGATTGATCCGGCAAAAGTCCGTTCCTTGCAGATATGCACCTGCTCTGGTAGGACCGACTGGAAATAAGTTGAATGTGGTGAAGCTGTAATGACATGAGCATTTGAAGAGAAAGCGCTCTCAGAGTAGTTGGACGCACACGCATTTTCGATGGCCAGCGCAAAAACTTCTACCTCAGCTTTGGCGCGAAGCATCTTTGCCCGTAAGTAAAGCAGCTCCGACTTGGCATTGCGGTGGTGAGAATAGTAACGTTCAATGTCGAGATATGTTGCCATCAATCCAGCCTCAGTGCTTAGTTTCCACTTTGCGTGCCTCATCAAAGGCCTCGTGGACGCAAAGGGTAACCCATGTGCTGCACAGGCGGAACGACGGGTTGCACTTTAAAGATAAGGTAAGAGCAGCCAAGGGAATTAATGACGATACTGACGTTTACGAAGACTGATGTTCGTTGTTCAGGGGCATGAGCAAGCTGACCGGCAGCCAGAGCGTTCGGAGGCAGGTCACTTTCGATCGAGAAAAATTCGTTAGATGGTGTGAGGTCGGTGTGTTGTCTCCTTAACCAACTTTCACATTTCTGTTGCGCAGCTGCCGAATAAGCAGCTGCAGCTGCCGAATGGACCACTATGGGAGGTGTAACAGCGCATCTCAGAGTTGCTGAGATAGAGACATAATCCGCGGTTGGGACCACTCGATAGGACGCAATGCTAAAAAAGATGGTGTCAGATCGCTCAAGCACTCATTCGAATACTGAATCAAAAAAATCTCACGAATTATCCATCTCTGCTGGACGTAATCGATGGCCTGACTGCATAGGGATACTTCCAACTGACACCGATCCCTCCTATCTTCCATGAAAATTCGTTCGGCGGTCCTACGCCTTGTGTTGTCGCCAGAAATATTTTTCAATGATTCCTCCTCCCTTTGCGCTTCCGACAAAACGCCCCCCAACTATTTGCCATATATCGCTGAGATCGACCCGACCTTTAGCAAAACGTAAAGCAAGTACAATTCAGTTCGAATCTGTATGAAGAACTTTCAGGCCCAGGATGTGCAAAGTTTTAGAAATTATGAACTGACCATCTCCGATGGTATAAGTCGTATATAGAATTCCAGCCATTTAGGAGCAGTTAATATATTCGAGAGTTCAAACATTCCGAGACGAATAGCCAGGGGGCTGAAAGGGGGAAGGCAGGATGGGGTCGACATGGTGAATTGCAGGAAGTATGTACAGCGTGTGGTTTCTGATATTCTCGTCCGAGAATATATTTGTATTGAACTGCTAGCGCTGCGGTGATTGAATATCCCCTGGCCATCAACCCTTCCCTGGCCATCAAAATGACGTAAGGACTTGGAGTCCGATGAAGTATCATCAATGGCCTGAAACGCACTCAAACTTTTCAGAGGTAGCTAAAGATATAGTATCGTCACGGTTTAAAGTATTTCAACTCCATTGCCTAGCAGAAAAATAAATCAATGATATAACAGGATACAGCTTAATTGCGCCCACGAACGTCTGTCTTGAAAATCTGATAACAAAATTTCAAACGATGTGGGTACACGATTTGACTCTGCCTTCATTCTTACGAGGGTTGCGAGGACGAGGAGAGCTGTCTTTCTCTCGCGTCCAAGGTGGCGTGGGGGCCTGGTCAGGACTCGACAGGTGACAGCAAAAGACGTCGCTGCTGGGCGACAGGCTTCGGGGAAAGCCCCTACTGGTAATAGGTGACAACAGACGGCCAAGTGTGAGATGAGGTAGGGACTTAGCGTGATGGTACGGTGGCTGCTACAAACGCTGAACGATATCACATTGGAGTATTCGTCCGTAGTGCTAGTCCGTAGTGTATCCCATAAAAGTTAATTTTAAATTACCCTGGCATGATTAAGGCGTTTGAAGCACGAGCCTGATCATGATAACTCACAGGCCGACGATCCTTCAAATAATCCACTTTGAAAGTGCATGGATGCAGAAATCAAGGATTGGTATCATAAGCTCCGCTATTTTCCGACGCTGATGCGGGTCCATTGCCATGGCCGTAGTTGATTGGTCAGCACTGTTGGTCAGCAAGTACTGTCGTATCATGTTCAAGCTCAAGACTTGTCGATTATCGCTCGTGTCAACTTTGACTCAAGTTGGTATGGATGGTTTATCAAAATACAGTATTCAAGTCAGTCGGCGATTCGCAAACGAGGAGGATTGAGCATCAATTCACAGGTGAATTTTCCAGCGTAAATGATATTAGTGCGATTGGGCTAAGTACAGGTCTTCATCTAACATGATCAGACCTCGCCCTCTTGTGCAGCTCCACCTGCAAGTGATCCCATCCCTAGTTAGCGCTCGGACCAGCCCAAAACCTTACGTCGTGCCAGTGATTCCTACCCCAGACCTAGTGTCATCAGTATAAGCGATAACGAAGCCTTATCCCGACACCTACCGAGGTTTTCGCTTTTGCACTCCTCTTGAACAGACTTGAATATGACGCTTCATGATCGGCCTTGTTCCCACCCGCATACATTGCTTGCAGCGTCTAAAAAGAGTGTGGAACTCATTTGCTGTAATTCCATCGCCAGCAGACTCAAGGTTCTTCATCAATTCTTTTTGTTCCTGGTAAGTCCATTCGAGATGAATCGGGCGCGGTTCTTTGTGCTGTTCTGCAGTATCTCAATAAAATTATGACTCTGCAGCGCAGCAAGTTCATACCTCGACGAGGGTACTGGCAGGTTCCTACAGACGATCGGTGATAGTATGCATCGATTTTAACTAGGTGATAGTTAGTTTTTTATCTTTCAAATATGAAGAACACTGACCTCGATATCCACATCGATCAGATGCGCATCTTGCTTTCCAACAAGTGTTATCGGTGGTCTTATCCCTCCATGAGTACACCGCCGCCTCCGTGTATGCCCCTCTTCCACCCTCCTCGGCACACAGGCAGCACGGATATAGAAAGTCATGTTCTTCACGGTACTTCTTGAAGTTCGACGGTAGCACCTTCTTTCCCTCGTCATCGTTGGGCCTGCATTTGTGGGCCATGTCAACGCTTAAATGTGGTACGTGATTCAAACAGCGTCTCACCAGCACCATTCGATCATTGATCTTGATATTTTGTCATAATGTAGGAGGGCGAAGTCGCAAGTCATGGCCTCTGTAACGAGTTTGGCGAGCCTTCGAGCACTTTCACGATAGTCTGGTGGGGCAGTGATGATAGAAGAAGGTGAAGATGGGACCTCCATTGGTTGGTCTGTTTAGCAAAGACTCGCCTCTTTATTGAATGCCATAGCTGGTTCAGCTTTTTCTGCCGCCGTCAAGTGCGCCAGCCCTGGTCTATGCTGCCAGGATTCTGCCCTGTGGGAATATAGCCATGTTCGGTTAGTCGCGCTGGCCATCTAGTGCCTAGGTCTATTATGAAATACCAAGTTGTTGGATGAAATTGGTGAGCCATTCGATCCGATTTTCACTGCGGGGTTCATGTGTCTCTTGTCTCTATAGCTTCCCATGGATCAGACCGATTCATCTGGGAGACGTTTCAAATGCACTTGCACACGTGAGTTTACTCAGGAAAGTGCCTACACTAGGCATCAACGATCGTGTGCGAAAGGCAAAAAAGTTTATTCTCTGCTTTATCAAAAGCAAAAGACTTCCTAGGAGCTGCAAAACGGTCCCGGCTGGAGGTCAAGAATGCTCCCATTAGCATGGCGCTTTCGAGTACGGAGCTCCGCTGCCCGCAATCCTCGTCCGTGTCTTCCGATCAGGTTCACAAGTCGTTCAGCGAGGAGTCTCCCAGCACTTATCCAGCTCCGTCGGTAGCGCACCCCCCCCAGGATGTGTCATATGGAGGTTCTTCTTTACATGACGATCTGCCCGTCCCAGTACCCAATGCCAATCTTGGCACAGCGTCTATGGAGATAGATGAAGGCTCATCCCTGGCCCAGCGCAGAACCAAACTGTTGGTGTTCGCATGCCGCAGCGCTTTAGACAGTATGAAGATATACTTCCGCAGCCTCCTCCAAGCGCTCCAAGCCATGCTGCTCAACAACTGAAGTCTGTTCCGCCCG